CATCGAAACAGTTTAACCGAACTTCTTTTCTCCACCAAGGGTCTATACATTGTCGTGTCTATGTGTGTGTGTGTTGATGGACGTAAGGATGTTCCATTCAAAGCGTGGTGACGTAACTGATGAGAATCCACTTTCTAGTGATGTTCACCACAAAAAATGTTCATTTTGAGCTGTCTCCGGCTCAGTCCACCCACTCCTTATCCCGAATGATGGCACCACGGAGCTTCAGATCCTGAAAGCAACAAAACCGCAGGCATGAGGTGGCGCAAAGTGTCTCTACACCTTGCACACACGCCACAAATATCGTGGAAGGTTTCCAATGTAGTTTTTCGGTGCTGTGCGTTGCTGACACCCAATTGCAAGTTACATTCATGGCCAAGGAACTCTGTAGAGCTTTGTGGTTTCATAGCTCTTGAAGACCGCCTCCCAGGCTGTAGCAATCATGGAGCAGCGTGACTCGGAGTGCTCACATGAGTGTGCGACCTTTGTGATCGGAGGGTGCTTCAACTAGGAACGTCGTGAGAGACCAGCACAAAGAGACTTTTATAGCATCAGCAAAAACAACTTCAAGCACATCGATCGATGCTGACCACTTGACATGCCAACACGTTTAAGCGAATAACATCAAATGGGATCAATTGGGTGTGCAATTTAAAATTTAATAGGACTCCCAACCAATATTGGGTGTTTGGTCTATATATGTTCCTGCTCGTTCCTGCTTGCAGGAGTTTGGGAGGTCTCCCTAGTTCAATACGGGACCCAATTCACCAGAAAGAAGATTCCACTTGCAAAACCTTTCTGTTCCCTCTTACCGTTACAACCTTGCCAATCCCCGCGCAGGTGATTCAAACATGAGGGAGGTTCCCTGCACTACATGCCGCACATCTGCTGTCGTCCAACTCGGCTGCGCCTGGACCGTGGTGAACAATCTGGGGCTATGTTTGACCTGCCAGGTCTTGTGATCCATTGTGATCATCAAACCAACGTTAACGGTGGATGGATTCTGCCGAACGAGAAGGAGGGATTAAAGGTCTATAGGACGATCTTCCCTAGAAGTGGAAGGGCATCTGTCAATGCTTTTGTTGCTTCTGAAGGCGAAGCTACTGGATACGAACGACGTGATCTGTCTAAAGAATTCAGCATCAGCGCGACCACTCACTTCCATGAGGCTGCCGAGCTGCTAAGGAGGTGAAAATAAACTCAAAGCGCGTGGAGTTGAAGCGCGTCATGACCTTAGCAACGCGTAGCAATCTCAGGTCAAGTGAAAGGCCAAACGCTAGCACATGCCGACCCTTCACTCTACACTCCCCAAATTCTGCGTAGGTCCTGTGAGCAGCCCCTCACCGAACGCCTCCAAAAAATCAACCCAGCAAGACCCAAATGAGTGGATCTAGGAATTGTAAAGATGGTTATATGTTCCACGCAATTCACCCGGTCATCACTACAAGACTCACAAACTCCATATTATAACGTTCCACTTAATGTTGGATGAAACATGTATCATCATGTATCCTATGAAAAAAAAAAACTATATACATATATATAGCCTAGGGCTCCAAATACCTTCTCAGCCGGTGTTTGGGGTGGGTTTAGAGGGTCCAAATACCTTCTGAGAAGGTCCTTGGAGCCCTAGGGATATTAATATTAATTTAATATAGTTCCACTATGTTCCACTCTCTTCCAAAATCCCACCTGGCAAAACGCCACTGGCAGCTCTCCGCGGAGAGGCATCCTGAGGCTCCAAACGTACAAGGCCTGGCTATTCCCCCGGAGCTTTGAGGTCACCTGATGCGTGCCAAATGATGGAGGAGCCTTTGTGAACTACAAAGACCCCGGGCCCTACACTCCTGTCCCTCCAGGTCAAGCCTTCTGCAGTTCACCCGTTTCAAGATTCAACCACATGATGGGCGGTCGCTGACGGTCTATATATATATATATACACATATAAGGTGGTTCCAGGTTAAAACCCCAGGGTTCCGTGGAGAACCGAACATGAACAGATTGATCTACATAAGATACATAAGGGAGTTCAAGCTTCCCGGCTTTGCTTTAGGAGCAGTTTCGACTCACACAAGCATCGACTCCACCAAGGCCACCATTTCCGCCGCCGCCCCACCGTGACTCCGCAGCGATCCGGATCGATCCCAGTCGATTGAGCCAAGCGGCCGACCGGATGTTCACGCTGGACACGCAATTGAATCCAATACCTCGGACACCGGACGTGGCGAGGAGGAGGAGTCACGACGTATGGACCACGTTGGAGCAGGCATGGAGCGGGCGGAGGTGGTGCAGGGTCTAAAAAGGTGGGACCACAACACCGACTTTTCGGAGTTCTTGTTGGTAAATGTGTTCAATGATGTTCAATGGCTGTTTTGCGCCGTTTCGAGTTTCTTGCAAGCTCTATATCACAGATATTCTTGTATCCATGTGGAGGTCACGATTGCACAAGCTTGCCTCCCAAAGGCGGGTGACACCCGGGAGAGCTCCGAAGCCTCGAACGCCGACAGGTTGGCCATCCCATTGCTCGGCCAAGGATCTCAAATTCGTCCGTGCATACTTGGCAGAAGTCCAAATCAGCCTGACAGCAAAGCAACAGCGGCCACCGGGTTTGGCCAAGAAAATGGGGTGATCCGAAATGGATGTTCCACCTCTCAAGTTGCAATGAAGGACTCTGGAAAAAAGGATGTGTACATTGACTGTCTCACACTTATTCAACTCCCAATTGAGCAAAACGACATTGCAGTATGTCCCAAACATCAACGCTGACAAAATCCCAGTTATCATCCACTGACGTATGACTGTACCAAGCGACAAACTGCCAAGCGACATTTGTCCAGCCATTCCCGATATACTGGCAACTGATATCCACTTCAGATAAAACATCTGCACATTCTGCAGGGGGTCAGCCTTAAGTTGGTGACGATGAGGATCCCCCTCTCGCCATTGTTGCCTTTGGTATCCTGGCGTGCCGCCAGCACCAGTGGCACGAAAGCACCACACCACAAAACCACTCCCCAACACACCCACACACAGAAGTGCCCGCCACTGTGGCCGCCCATATATGCAACACAGCGCGTATTATAGCAGCTTTCTTTTGTCTAAAGAACTCACATTAAAGCAAGTATCAGCTTGACCTACTGGGAACAATACAGGCGTTCCACCAATCAAAGAAAGTCATTGGACGCATTCACGCAAACATTTGTTGGTTTTAACCTGCTGTCACCGATCTCTCGAAGAAAGCGCGTCCTCCACCGAATTAATGGAGTCGATCCTCAGCTTCGGTGTAGCGGCGCAGCTTTGCTCCACTTGCGGAATGCGAATGGGCGGTTTGACGGTATACGGTGGCCCTGCTCCAGCCATACACTTCCCAAACCGCCAAAGCATCCACCTTCTCGAAAAGCGAGGAAAGGGTCACCATCCATATCACCCGGTTAGCCTCCAACATCAAGCTCCAAGATCATCAAGATCCACAAGTCCAGAATGAACACACCAAAAACACCCAAAACCCAAACGCCGTTCAACACTCTCAAACACCCTATGATACCCTATGAATCCCTCTGATACCCTATCCTAGGCGGATCTTCCTCCGGTTTCACCGGTTTCCCGCGGTCCGAGCCGGGCGCTGCCGGGCTGCCGGTGGCTCCCGCTTCCGCTCCGAGGGGCTGGAACTCACCTTTTCGGAGCTTCAGAAGCTGAGGCATTTGATCAAATTTGATCCTCGAAGGCAGCGAAGTCCAACGGACCGGGTGCAAAGATGTGCAAATCCATGAAGAAACAAGTGTAAATAGTAGTTCGACACTGGGTGGAACAGGCGACCATTTAACCGCCAACACCATTTTGGCGGAGGGGGTGGGAGGAGCCTTCTGAAACATGCAAGGGGTTCAAAACATACGTGGGGAAGTGTTTTGTGATGTTTGGATCAACTGGGTTGGTCAAGCTCTTGGTTCCCAGTGCTGATGAGCGGCTCTCTGTCCTGCCATACCTGGCAGGACCGGGAAAAGGCATGGCAATCATTAACCCGTATCCAGTGTCACCTCGTGAGATTGTTCGTTTGGGATGCACAAAGGGGATGCATGGACTGCTCCAACAGCTCAGCAAATAGGCATGTTCCTCTGAATTCTTGGATGATGCTCTTTCTGGTGCATGTGATGACTCAGAATGCTCCAAGCACCCTGCAAGCTGGCAGGTGAAGATACCCACCAATTCGACCCCCGACCTCTGGTGATACTGCGAGCTGTGAACATCTGTCAAACTTGATGTTAAACCCCACACAATGAGGATGACGAAACACTGGACCAGTGAACCCATAAGAACTTCTGCCGAGGCCGGCAGACATCTGATGTAACTCATCTCCCCCTGCACACCTCATCTTGCAGCTGGTCCGGAGCGGACATCAATTCCCGCCACCCGCAACCAGCGGCGACCGTGGCCCCGCCGCGTGTCGGCTTTGAGCCAGCAAATGCAGTTTCGGTAGGCCGGCAGGCTCTTGATGGAAAGGTCACCAGTGGTTTGGCCGTTGTGATGTTCGCATCTGCTTTTCGTCCAATGAAAGGTCAGCGCTGATTTTCGTGCCCAGGGTGTCAGAAACTTGCTGACTGCACAGGGCAGTAGAATAGCACCGTTTGTCGTGGGCACAGCACCATGAATTTCATGAAACGCACATATGTTACATATACTAGCCTCTGGTGAGTCAGGATTTGTGCCTCTGATTGGATTTAGGGTATATCTGATCATGAGCAAAGAGTTTGGTGCATATTTCCTGTGGCCTTTCTGTAGCCTTCCAATGGCCAACTGCCACCCAGGATCACCCTCAGCACAAATCATCGTCTCCGTGCTCCAATGAAGGTTGTACATCCGGCCATCTGCACTTCACTCCACTGAAAAGTGAGTCACACTCCCACTGACTACCATGGAACTGGACAATGGCCGTTGGGAAAATCATGGTTTTTCCCCTCTTCCTCTCACTCTACACGTGGTGAACTCCACTTCCATGTCCGCACCTCAGGGCAGGGTCCGCCGCCATGAAACTCACCTGGGTCGACTGGTCGAAGAGGCGACTGGTCAAGCAAAGCGCATCCAGCACACGAAGACTCAGGTCATTGTTGGGTCCTCTGCTGATCGTGGATCCCTGAAACGGATTGCAATCTGCAAGGATCTTCTGGAAACCATTATGGGCATATAGTGGGCATATATAGTATAACTAACGGAAAAAAAGGTGTTCTATCGCGAGAAGTGGATGTCACACATCTTGAAGTTCGAGAAGGAAGTTCTTTTTACTGCCATGCGTGACGCCCCTTGGCGGAGGGGCTGCACTCCAGACTGCAGGCGAGTGACACAGCACATCTGAGAAACAGTTCAACCCCTCATACATGCGCAACGAATATGATAGTTCCTTCCAACTTGCTGTGGATAGGCAAATCTTAACTAAGCCGGAACTCCCACGTGGGTCAAAGGAATCACTATACAGCCAATCTATCAGATTTTGCCATCTACTCAAAGACCACTGCAAATGCATTTCCGCCAATGGTATCTATTCGTCGAAACTCTTGCCACATCTTGCCAAGCTGTTGAAGCCCTTGCTTTGGACGGCGGCATCTCCGAGCCAAAGCTTCAGCCGTTTCCTTCCTTTTCTCATTCCCATGCTCCGTCGTCGGGAACCCCATGCTCCATCCAGCATAGCATCCAGGTCGGGAATCCTTTCGGCGACTGCGCCTGGTCGACGCCAAATGGCTCGAACGGGACCTTGCGGCTAGTGGTTTGGGTGGCTTCTGAGGGGCCATGCGATCCACTTCCACAATCAATCATCACATGCTTTTTGAGATAGTAATGTAGACTCTTGATTGATAAACCCCCCGTATGAAGAGCATGTCCAATTCAAATGGGAGGGATTATTAATCAAGAGTCTACTTTATATATGTAGATATGAATTGTCTTTGTTGGAATTTGTGAAACCACAAAGTGTTGTGATCAGGAACTGTGTGACACAGTTGTGACCCACGGTCACATGTTGCTTGACATAAGAATGGGCATTTAACGGTTTGCATGTGTTTTTTGTTTCCTGACGTGGCTTCATTCTATACCATTAACACTCATAAGTTACATAAGAATCAACGAGCGGACTTCACCAGGGGCCTTCAATCCCCCCACGTCCAGCGATACCCAGGTGTTGCGGGGCCTGGGGCATCCAAATCTTGAACTGATCCCGGCTCCAGTGACGGCAGATCGAGGAAGCCCAGTGAGGACACTTGAATGTTGTCAAACCATGTCAAACCTTAGATTCACCTCCATGGCCCGGAAAGTCGAGGAGGTTCTGGCCCCGTCTGCAGGTACGGCCAGGCTTTGGTCGAAGATCTGGCACCAAATGCCCTGCAAATGATATGGCCTTCACATATACTTCTTGTGAAGATTGACCACAGTGCGAAACATGTCCCCGATGCCAGGAACCAACTGCATGGGTGTGGGTCGCTCGCATCAAGGACATGACCATAAGCCTGCTGTGCGAGATAGTAGAGCTGGCACCGGGTCTAACTCCTCCCCTGTGCCTTGGGGTCTGGATTCTGCCATGCCCTGCAGTTGCAGTCAGGGCGTCCTGACTGAAGGGTGTGGTGACTTCAACAGGATGGGGGACTCATGTGCTCCATCTTCCTCAAGAACCTGCCCACCTCAAGCTTCCCAAACTCCTTTACATAGAGCAGGTGACACTACTTACACAGCGGACCCTGGATTCCTGGATGATCCGTTTCAGCTGAAGTAGCCATAGACAATAAGTAATTAATATCAGCATTAAGTGTTATTGAGTGTTTGCACACACATCATAAACCTATATCAATAGAGAATAGAGAGAGAGGGAGAAAGAGCACGGAGGGAGGTTCATTTGCCATGTGCTTTGTTACTAGTCAATGGTCTGCCTGACATGCTACCCACTTGCACCACCCTCTCCTGCTATCTCCTGCTACTTCTTGCACGCGCTCACCCGTCCACTCTCGCAGGGGGCCAGGGTAGTAGACGGGTCAGTTCAGTGGCGACGAGGCGAGCAAACTCCAAGTAGCCCTCTGAGGTGAAGTGAAGCCCATCGTAGAGATACCTCTTCAGTGCTCCAACCAAGGCGGGAGCCAGAAGGGGGGTGGGAAGTTCAATGCGGACCAATGGTGAGATCATGAGAAGCTCTTGACTTGGGAGCAGCTGTCTTGGGGGAGTGCCCCCCCCACCAAGCATTCTCGTCATTGTGTCATTGCAAGCTGGGTCAGCTTGGGCCAACACCGGAAAAACATATATATATATAACAAATACACACAGCGTACCATACTATTCGTGGTGCATCACCTGGGAACTGTCAAACCCAAACGCTGCACAGCCGGAAAAGCTCAAATGAGAGTTGAAAACCGACCCAGCAAGCGTGTTCTGCATCATGGATGTCCACTGGAGCAGGGCATAATAAAAACCGCCGCCCCGGTCCCAACTCATTAAACACCCAGCTGCGAGCTTGGAACAGCACTGAGATTCACGAAGAAGGATGGGAAGCCTTTCCACGCTTGGAACAGCGCAGGCTTGCTGATGTGAATGCCGGATGAAGACATGGGGGTGGGTCAAAACCTGGAGTGCTCGTTCACGTAGCGAAAGACCTTCCGGGTAGGTCAGCCAAGCTGCTCCGGTTTTGACCCCCAGCCAAAACCTGGCAAGATTATAGGGTGCAAAAGGCCAGAACGCGGGAAGTCTTCGATGGGTGCCAGTCATTAATTTGGATCATTTCTGAGGGCCCGGTGTTGAAGTATGTTCAGAACGCTGTGGATAGAGTTTTTCTGTGTAATTTTGGCCGTGTGCACAAATAAAATATAACACGCAGTGCTGGTTCAAAGGTCTTTGCCCACTGCGCTGCTGCCCATAAAATGCTGGACCCGGGTCAAGTAAACAAACATGACAATCACCCCCGTCATTGCCAGCGTGCAAGTGTCATGTCTTCATACTTTTCATACCATGTTCGAAACAACTCACAACAGGTCACTTCTTTGACACCTCAGATGTGCAGCCAATGTTCACGTCAAACATATTGTGCTCTGTAGAGACATGGACCTTCATTCAGCTGCTCTCCTTTACAAATAGCCGCATTGGTGTCCGTTTCTCTGGCTTTGTCAGCTCCTTCAGCCCTGTCAACCATCTTCGACCGTGTTTCGGTCGCAAGCATCGGCGGCGAGAACCACACCAAGCGGCTGTAGCTCTCAACCAGCTCAGCAAGCCGCAAATTCAGCGATTCTCGTTTCTGATGGCTTCCAACCTGTTCCGGAGGGACCGCCAACAGGGGCCATCGACGTGTTCATGTCATAACTCAAGACACAAAAAGAAACCAAGAAACGACATGTTGTAAGGATGAAAAGGGACAAATGTGGCGGTAAGGTGGGTCACAATGCAATTTGTGCGATTCTAATCACGCGTTTCTGTTTTGTCACTGGATCAAACAATCAAACAACACAGTGATGAAGAACAGGAATGACAGCATCGAAACCTTTGGAAATATGAGAGAAGGAGGATGAAACAGGTTCAGCTTTTCGTTGGATTAAGCCAAATCGCCACTTGGACTTGGTGGTGTCATCGGTCCTCACCTGCGGATTCAAGAACTTCGGCAACGCCAAGACCCCCACCAAGGAGGTTTGCGCGGCCAGCTCATGCATGGCCTGCTACGACGACCAGCGACGACGGATCCAGCAGCGTGCGTTCTCCAAAAAGTGTTGGTGGAATAATCGATGTCAAAAGAGCTGAGTGACCACATAACCTCGTCCCTTACACAAAAGGAACGCCTAACTAAGTTTTGCCCCACCTTCCACACAATAATGTTTCACTGGATTCCATCTGAAATCTTACCAGCCAGTGCCCTTGCTTTGCCCAAAACCCATATTTCCTTTGTGCCACGTGCCAACAACTGGTGAGTTCTGATCCACCGTCCCCCGCATGAACTGCATCATGTCCGTTCCACCGTCCGGCCTTCAAATTGGCCACGGTCACCTCAAGGGGTACCTCGGCACCCAACACCACCAATGCCAATGGAAGGGCAAGCGGCTGTGATTCCAAACTCCAGGTAAGGGTGAATAAATGGAACTATTCCAATGATTTTATGAATATGTATGATGCCGGACTTGGTGTGGTGCCTTCAACCATGCCCGGCTGCACCAGTTGCAAGTGGGCCTTATACCTACCCTGCAACTCCACCTGGTAAGTTGCAGATTGCTGTTTATAGGACCATGAGTTCATTGATTTCTGGAATTTGGGTTTCATCAACTTGACTCATCAATTAATCCACCCTGTGCCCCGCGCCATGTCCGCCCATGACTCACGGCTAAGCCTAAGTGCAGCACTGAACGGAGGTCGTTGGTCCCTCCCAACACCAAGACCACTCGAGGGGGATCAGGGAACCAAGCTGGATGGCCTCCCGGGTTGGTCACGTGGCAGTGTCTAAGAGCTTCAACAGACCTCCTGGGCAAACCCATGGTGAGAAAAACAAACACATGGAAGCAATTGGGGGTGATGGAACAACGGGGGTGAAGGTTCCAAGGTAAACTAATGTGAACCCGATCCAAAACTGCCAGCCTTATATAGTGGTTCTAAGTGCATTACTTAGAACTTAGAATCCAAAAGCCAGGCACATGTTTATACAGTTGTCTAAACACGAGGTTCTAAGTACGAGTCCGTCACTATATGCTATGTTGCTTTACTTCAGTGTTGTGTCACAGCTAGGTTTCTTGAACCACTAACCGATACTTTTAACTATTTTTAAATGTGTTCTCTATATGTTTCAAGAACTGCCCAACCACAAGATTAACACAGGAACAAGAAATGCTCCGGCCTGATTGCAAACGTTGCAGCATAGACCTGCAATGTGTCGGCTTTTAGCTCTGCTGCCATCTCACTCTTGCTACTCCTCTGATAGGTGTCCGATTGGTCTTCACGAAGCTTTTGATACCGAGTCAGACTGGACCGATGAAAGCATCCGTCCAAACTGAACGAACAAGTCTATGTGATCTCCCCCACCCTTGCCCGGAAGCTGTTGTTGATGACAATGGCGCCTCGTTTGCTCGCCCCAAATGCCCGTGATCTCCACCTACCAAGGCAGACCGGTTACTCGCTTGCTGACAGAGCTGCCCCTAGGCCCAGGGCTGAGTATCGGAAGGTAGTGTGAATGTACAATGAAATAGACTCTGAGCAACAAGGAACATGGAAGCCATCAAGCAATAGGCCACAAAAAAGAAACTGTAAAGGCCCTACAAAACCTGCAAAGACCTGCTCAGCAGGATTCTCAAGCCCCACCGACTTGCTTGGGCTTTCAAAAGCAGTTCTCTTCTGTATGCATGCATGAACCTCCATCCACAAAGAAACATCTTCACACGTCTTGAACTTAAGTATAGCCTATATGGATGTTGAAACAGAGCCATCCGCCTCCATCCGCCCCACTCCTCCGCCACGACCCTGGCATTGCTGCCTTGACGCCTAGGATCTCAGAGAGGAAGGCACCATAAGGCACACTGCCAAAACCACCCGCCGTCAAAGAGTCTCCAACGGCCAAGATGGTCCAAGTGCCACTGCTACCAACCACCTTCAGGGCATCTATGCACGGGTGAAAAGGCGTGGTGCAGCCAGTCAACGAAAACAACAGATCTCTGGACAGTCAGACCATCTGCCTTTTCTAGATATTGAGACCTATGATGCTGTCCAGGAAGAAGTAAAACATCTTCAGGAGGTACGGGGACTAATCGGATTGGGCTGAGAACAAAAGCACCAAAAAAAAGAAAACGCAGATTTCGATCATGCCCCACACAATGGCCAGTGCCTCTTCACCCAGCGCGTGGTACACCGCTGCGCCGTAGAGCAGCGAAGTGGCCATTCGATGGCGCATGGGGAAGGTGCACCGGGCGCCGGTGAGAAAGGCAACAGGTCTATAAACACAAAGTTAAGGACATTCCTCAAATCTCTCAGACACGTCTATCTAAATCTAAGTTGCCTTTCTGCGCGACTTGCGAATCTGTCCAAGCCACAGCTCATGTTAAGCAGTGGATCTAAGTTGCATATAATAAACAAAATCACACATACACATACACCTATTGTTTGTAGTCACTGTTCCATGTTCGAGCATCATCTCGCCACTTTTCTAACCACTATACTACCAATGGCTGATGTGGAAAGGTCGCGCCTCCAAACCCGAAGACCATGATTTGCTTTTTCCGTTTTATGGAGTTTCATCTATACAGCTTCTGTGGAATCGGCCGCAATGCAGAAAAGAAAGCAAACAACTCAGGAATACCAGGAGCCCACCGTGGCCAATGGCTGGAGCCACGTGCTCGACTCTGCATCCTCAGTATCCTGTCAGCCTCAGAATTCTCAGGTGATTGAATTCATGATGTCAGCTGCCCCAGAAGCACACCCACCAGCTCGTCATGTTCTTCTGTAAAGCATTGTGCAGCACATCATGGCAAGAACCCAATACACTGCACCCCAATCTACTTGTTCTTTTCCCGTCTTTCTGGGTGTTAAACCGTCTTTCTGGGTGTTAAACCTTCATAAAACAAATACATGTCACCCAGGAGACACGGGGAACTACTCATCGCTTGTTTGACCCGCTCTCCCCTACACCACTTGCAATGAGCTCATCACCCGTTCACCACCCGTTCACCAGATCTGCACATACCGTGCACCTCTGGGCACCCCGAGCCGTCCCGGGCAACAACACCGGCGCGGTGGCCACGCTGCGGGTGCTGGGAGATGCCTGGAGTCCGTGCGAGAACGGTGGGCTTCTACCCATGCTGCGTGCCCGCCACAGCGAACTGTGGAGGTCCTGATCAGGAGTAATGTAGACTCTTGATTAATACACCCACATGAAGAGGATGTTCATGGATGTTCAATTCAAAACAGGGGGGTAATTCATCAAGAGTCTACATTAGGCGTAGGCGTCGCACACCTTTGGAAAGATTGGGATTGGGGGTGGTTGAGTGGTAGGCGTCGGCGTCGGCCCTTCGCTTCCTTCGGTCCCAAAGAGTTTCAGGTGCTGAATTCTCTGCCTACAAAACTGTCTGTGTCGTCCAGCTGCGGCAAGGGGGCTTTCTGAATTCCCCCCGCCCATGACTGACGTGGTTTCCTTGATGAAGAGGAAGGAACAACATCAAACACCCACGCAGCCGGTGTGACAAACGTGTTGCATACGTGAACATGATATGACCGATGACCTTTCAGTGGTGATGGATTCTTATTCTTTTCCGCCTTGACAACTGAATGGCATGCTTCATCCCGAGTCGAAGGTCAGTGAAAACGTCACCAAAAGCCGACCACTGGCAGTGGCGGTCTCGGGGTCTTTGGAGTATTCCTCTTCAAGGCTTCGGCAGGATCACAGCCCATCTGAGCGACCCCATTTCGCCTCCAAGGGCCCTGCGAGATGCCAGGGATGTGGCCTCGAGTTCTGGAGTGGGGTGACCTCTACTGGACTCAGATATGAACCTAGAACCTGGGTGACCTTGGTTTTGGAGGCCAGGAGACCCCGGGTTTAAGAGATGGAAGAAGCAGCGCGAGTCGAGGTGCTTCTCTTCCGACCGATCTGCTTCTCTTCGGTGATCAGCGATGGATCCAATCCACACACGGCTCTCCACTCACTCAGAAGGCGAGATGGAAGTTGCACAAAGATGTTGCGCAACGTGTGTTCCTATGGGAGTTGATGTCAAGCATTGAAGCTGAAGCTACTTATCCAAAGGCTGGGTGCGCGTGTTCAGTTGCACCAGCTACGCCAGGTAGCACACGTCTCCGAGGCTTCGTTTGCGCTTGGCGCACTAGCTGAATTGGGTCACAACTCGCCTATCCACGTGAGAACGCGTGCAATTGTATAAACATGCAGGCAAACGGCAGAAGTGAACATTTTCTGCTAGTCCGGCTATATAGTTCATTGAGCATGACGGGAAATCACTGAAATCAAATTCGCCTTCAAAACAGTTCAACCAGCTACATCATAAACAACAAATGCTGTATAGGACCCCTCCAAACCAACAGAACCGCCCAATCTCCAAGATCTCCAAGGAGAGCCAATCTCTCGACCTCCAAAAACCGTGGCTCCCGGCAACGGGGTGCAGCTGGGCAAATGCCACGCCGTCAGGGCGCAAGCTGGGCAAACGGAAGTGAACTGGCGGAGGTCTCATCGTCAACTGTTAAGGAGCCCTTGGTGCGGGCCAAAGCGTCCCCTTCCCAACAACATTCCTTTTGGGGGCGCATACGTCCTTCCTCATTAAGCTTGTCTCTTTCAGAGCCTTTTGAGGTCTTGGAGGCTTCCTGTACGAAGTTCATGGTCTGGATCTGCTGGAGTCGCTACGTTACAAAGGTCCACCCATGCTTCATCAAGTAAATGGCTCAACCCCCTTAAGCATAAACTGGTTTTACCTGAGCTTTTCTTGGATCACAGAAACACATTTGAGACGTTTGTGAGATTGTGCAAATCACAAACTCCCGACTGACTCCTACTCTGCCTGAAGCCATTTAACATTACCCGAACCCTTCACACCGCTGGCCGCTTCCGCTCTGCCTGCGGAGTCGGTGCCAGCTGTGCCCAAGTTCACAGCACACACCTCGGAGTGCTGAGAACTGGATCCGGTTGACCTTCTCCCAAAGAGCGAAGCATTTTTGGCGTTTGTCATCACTTGTACCAATCCTGTGTCACCTCCTATGTCTATACTGTCTATACTATACGTGCATTATCTCCAACAGGTGAAAATCCCCCCATGATTTCATCCGTAAATGTCAAAGTCCAAAAAGAACAACCAGCTGGCCTGACACTTTGGTCCAGTTCCTCATTCTGGGCTGCCCCGACCAGCACCTCTTCCAGAAGCACCAGCGAGGAAACCAGCGGGCGCAAGGAAGAAGTACCTAGTCCTGAACGAGGATACCCAAAACCGAAAGAGACCGGAAAGAGAACGGCGTAGCATGGTATCCCAAATGAACGCCTTCCCCTCAGATCCAAGCCCACTTTGTGCAAGAATGGGGCCTAATGAGTCGTTGACTTCTCAAGAGAGGTCACAGAAGCAAGGATTCAAGTTGTTCAAGGTCGCCCGCTCCAGCTGAGCGGTTCAATTTGCAGTTGGAATCCTTCCCCCCCAAAAAAATGCCTTCTTCATGGCCCCAAAACATCCAAAACATTGAAACTTCTTTGGCTCCCTCAAAGTCTGCTCCTGTCAAGGTCTCTGCCCTGCTGACTGACCAGGAGAGGTTCTCCAATTCCTGAGTCAGCTCAGGGGCATCACGTTAGAACATGTTAGAACGCAAAAGGGGGAGAATCACTCCGTTCTGAACCCTGCAGATAATTATGGCCATGGCAGTAAGTGGCAGTAAACCCAAGGTGGTCTGGTCGAGCACAAAACGGGAAAATCCAGCAGCAATCATTTCTTGGGCACGTTCCAAACGGATTAGGATTAGGAATCCAATTATTGTCGCAGTCCCGGAGAAACTTGGGCCAAAACCAGGCAATCCAAAGAATAGACTACGTACCTTAAGCACCTCGACATCTCCTGGATAAACCCCTTACACATAGAAGATCGTAGAAGAGTGACCTTGATGAATCCTAAATTTGCACATCCTTTTGAGATCTTTTGAGATCATGTCTCGGAATCCCAGTCGGATTCTGAGAGGCCAAAGGGTTGCCCAACATGCCAAGAGTCCAACTCAGAGACCTTCAGCTCCGCCAGCAGCGCACCGTCGGTGCTGAGCACCGACACCAGGCCATCCGCGCGCGCCGCTGCCACGGCCGCGACGGCAGCGCCGGCGCTGCACCGCGGTGCTGCGGCAAGTGCGAGGACGGCGCTCGGGAGCGTGGCAAAGGGGACGACGCGGCGCTGTACCTGAGGTCTTCTCATAGACAGTGTATATGCCTGTCTATGGGGCGCCAAGTGCCTGAACACATCATCCGCCATCATCCGCTACAATTCCCTCCATTGGTCCAAAAAACTGTCCAGGACGTCCACTTCATCAGTCTCAGCCTCAAAGAAGGTGGGATTGTCCCAGCCTTTCATAGGAAAACACATTGAAGGACAGCACAATCCCCAAAAGCGACTCGTCAAAATGAGCTCTTCCCATGGAAAGAAGGAGCCTTTGTGGAGAAATCTGTGCCAAACATGATGAGTCTTGAGATAATTCTACGTATCAGCCATGGCACAGGGTCCACAGCGTCGTCCACTACCTTGTAGATGTTCCCAGCAGCTGCCACAAAGACACTGGGAAGCATAGTCGTTCTTCGGGAAGGGGAAGCGGTAGGCATAGGCATGCACTTGCCTCAAAGCTAGGTCTACCTTGACTAATCAGTTGCATCTAATGGTTTGATCCCTGATGTCAATCATGGAGTATATATTTCAACTGGCAAAGCCTTGCTGTGAAGGTCGAAATCGAAGAGTAGGGGTCATTAAACTGGTCATTAACTTCAGGATAAGACTTTCCACTGGATCGGTTCTCCCTTTTGTTCCGCGTAAAACGATTCCAAACTCCGGACCTACGCCCAAACAGTTCCAGTGTTGGAGTTCCACCCAGTCAAACTAAAGTTATATAATGAAAAAATATCCTAAGGAATTCTAAGGTTGTCAAATGTCTACTAACTCTCCAGGTTGCAGGAGGCACTGGGAACTCCAGGGAATTCCAACTCCTGCAGAACTCGTCCACAGTTGTAGTCCAAGACTTGCAGTGTCGCTCTCGCAGCTTCCGCAGCTTTGCCTACCAGAAGCCCATCGGACAAGAAGTGCGGGTCCAGTGGGGCAGCCGAAACCTCGCCGGGCCCAGTGCGCCGTTTGATGCACTAGACATGTATTTCCTGGGGGGTCGATATATACTCTAGATATACATATAATATAAATATATAGTAGCAATACACATACCATGACATATGAGCGCACATTGCATTGGTGAAGTTGACTTCATGGGAAGTGTCACCCGCGTAGTTATACACTTCAGGCCGATGTAGTTGGACCATGTTGGACCAGAGCAGTCGCGCGCAGTAACCTCTTCATAAGTCGCTCTCTCTCTCTCTCTCTCTCTGCTTTCCTTCTCCCGTTCATGCGGGTCGTCATACACAAATGAATAGATGGACGTCCAATGCTGGGGCAACCATGGTTGGCAGTTGGCAGTCTAACTTCAACACTTGCCAGGAATGACGTCGGCTGTTGTGCCTGCACGTTCGAAGTTCTAAATCCCGTGGGCTACTCTGCATTACTCAGCCTTCTTTCATGCAATGCCACCCCTAAAAAGGAGCGAGAGAGAGAGAGAGAGAGATAGAGAGATACTCAGATCTGAGGCTCATGATCATCATGATCTCGCCAACCCAACACCTTTCCGGCAAAGTACATGTCACAAAGGGATGGAGGACTGACCATACCCAAACCCATGTCCAGTGACCATACCATGACCCACCCTCACGAAGATGCACGGCGGTGGGGACAGCTGGTGCCTTGAGCACGTCCTTGCTTAGCTGCCCGTGGGGGCAACACTGACTTTTCGGAGTTCACCTTCTACAACAAGAAGGCCACATCTAGTTGAGAGAGATGTTTTGAGACTAAAGTGACTAAAGTCTCACCACCCACCTCCTTTGCCACATCCCCTGCTTCATTCAACAGTTGTCAGGACAACTTCTTGCTGCCAGGGACTTGCCACAAAGGCGAAGACGCTCCATTCACAGAGGTCAAATCCCAAAGCATGGCCACAGATTGTGCTTGATTCATGGTGATGGCTGCCTGCACATGATGGACATGGGTGAAGTGGATATGTCTCAAAAAGAACCTTTTCACCAACACAGTTCACTACACCTGGCACTAGCCCCACCACTTTGCCTTGAGAAACCTAGCCTTTCAATATGGAAAGGTCAACACACATCTTCGGCAGAGCGGATGCCTTTGGTTGTGCAAGGGTTCAAACGCATAGCGACCGTCGATGGTGGGACTTGGACTCTAAGACTCGAGTCGTCCCAAAACTTGTGATGGACGGGGGGAGAAGTGGACAAGCTTAAATTCAATGATAACTGGTTGGTGTTTTCAACCCACTTGAACAATATTAGTCAGAGGGTCCAATCATCCCCAAGTAAGGGTTGAAAATAAACATATCCGAAACCATCACCTAGATAAGGAAAGTGCCAAAAGATGCCAAAAGGCTCATTGGTTGACCATCCCACGAGCGAACTCATGCACGACGAATCTGCACGCGAAGGCGGCGCGGCGCACCAGCATCTCTCCGGACTTGCCCAAGTCCAATGAGATCACCGGGCTTTTGGTCTTCAGCAAGCCCATCTTCCTGGGCGCGCGCAATGGAGTGCCCGACAGTGCCGGCGATTCCGAGTCAAGCGCATCTGCTTGCCACATGAGTCAGCGGATCTGTGGGTGGATATGTCAGCTCGCGGAGAGGTTGGTTCATGAGACCATGAGACAAGTGACGTTCCGGGCGAGATATATTGCCCAAAGAATTCATGACTTCGAGCAGTTAAACTCAGCTAGGCCATCCGAATTTCAGAGGGCTCAGCTCATGACTCATGAAACTTATGACAAATCAAAAGCTGCAAAGACACATCCAGGTGGTTGGTGTCAATTCCTCAATCATGCTTTCCCTTTGAACCATGCATGGAAGGCGGAGATCATGCCTATTCCGGTCAACGCAGCATCACATATGCTCCACCCTGCGCTATGCCTGCGCTCCAAGTCTCGTAGTGCCAGGGTGGCCCCACAAGCGGATTCCATCCTGATGCCCTGTAGCAAAAAGGTGTGGAGAGCTTGGGCACATTGATGCACAGGAAGCTTCAAAGGTGCACACCGGAGGAGCAAAGGAGGTGCAAGGAGCACCTGCCATGCCCGCCATGCCCGCCATGGTCAGGCTGTTGTGACTGCTGTCATCTTGGCGGCGCGGTGCTGGAGTGAGTGAAGAATGTAAGCGGAAACCTAGAATCCAGTGGATGGAAGACTTGGAGGGCCAATCCTCAGGATCGTAGAACTATGTAGTAGGTGGTCTGTCATTCATGGACATGACGGCCTTGCTGGATTGGAGGACTGGAGGGAAAATCCAAGCACACGTTCTGCTTTGGAAATGGCTTGGGCATACTTGGTTGGGCCACAACATGTGGCACCCATCAACGTTGAAGCAAGCACGTCGAGATTCGTGGCACCAAACTTCTTCCAAATGTTAATCTCTGGTGACTCTGGTGGCTCTCCTCCAGCAATCCCCAACGTACACATTTCCCATCCTACTGTACCCTCTCTCTCTCGTATAGTCCGAAGAACAATAGATTATATAAGTTATACGGACGGCATATAGTAGAACAGCTACGACAAGAGTCGGAGCACTTCCAAGAAGACCTCGTTTTTCCTCTCACAAGAGCACTGGTGTCTCTGGGTCTATGCGATACTTCAGGGCACTGCAGACTGCAGGGAGAAGCGAAGAAACGGACACAGCTGAGGCTGAAGGGTTCTCACAGGTGGTCCTTGTGAAAAGTTACCAACCTTCTGTGTCTCTCTCCAGCTGCCATGCCACTTGATGAGGACTTCCTTCGCCCAACGCTTCCTCTGGATGCCTCCACTGCAGAGCGCAGCCCACCTAGCAGCTCCTGGAAAGAGCCGGGAAGAGCTGAAAGGGTTTAGAAAACACCAATAAAATTCGCCGAGGACTACAATCTACGTACAACCTGCAACATACAGAAGTATGCAACTAAAAAAAGATTCTGTGAGTTGCTGCCAAAAAGGCATCCAATGGATATTGAAAAAAGGAGGCTACCTAGAACATCATACAAATTTAAATCGAATAGAGACACAAACTATTGGATTGAATCACTATGTATATAGTGAACATCTATATATATATAACTATATCTAAGTAATGCTTATATCCAAGGAACCGCCCAGCGCAATGATGCCCGTGCAAAGGACAGCCACCGCGCGTGGGCCGCGCCCGCAGGCGGCGCCGCCACGGGCATGGCCTCTGCGAGCTCCAGGGAGGTGCGGCCGATGGCAGGGAAGGCCGAGGCCAAGGTCATCAGCGCGGAGAGGTCGCAAATGAGGACCTGAGTAGCTGTTGTGATCTGATCTTTCTATATGTTAGATCTGAGAACATGTCTCCCATCAAGAGATAGAGAGAAAAGTCCTAGGAGTTCTAGGATTCTACACCGCAATTGATGTCTGACCTGGCTGTATGGTAGGGTTTGCCCCGCGAAATGAATGTGTCCAGGATGAAATGGGCCCCAGCAAGGGGTGAATCACCTGATCCAAAATGTGCAAAGGATGACACGTTGATCGGAGGACCCAAACTAGATCAAAGACTTGGAGGAGCCTCTTGGTTTTCCTTTGTAGATCTATGATTCGGGAAAATCATGGGAAACTTAAAACTGTCTAGAGTCTACTTATACAAGGTACATCAAGGTACAATAGGTTGATGAAGCAAGAGGAGCTTCGGGGAAATCAAAAAAAGGTGTGTTTTCCAGAATGACATGCGATTCATGCATCTTCATCACCTTGGACCCCAAGAAGCCCCTCGTGGTCCACCGACTTCCCTTTTCTGTTTGAGACACCACCCTCGCCAGTATGGCCGCTGGGAGCTCTGCGAAGTGATTGCGGGTCGCCGCGCTCACGGCAGAGGGGCTCCGTGACAAGGGGAGGAGGCACAGCTTTGCCTCGTGGCGACAGGGTAAGGATTGAATAAATCAAGAATGCTGCAGAAATCCACAAGCTAGCCGGAGCTTAATATGATATATGCCATAATGCCGTTGAACTTGATCACTGGACGCTTTAAGCTCTACTAAGTTACTAACTAATTCTAATTACTACTACTACCACGGGTGCAAGGATCACAGTATAACTGATCACATCATACATTCTTCCAGCTCCCTGCCTTTCTCCTCCCTCTCCTCTCCATACCTTTCCACCGTGCCCACCGGCCCGGCATTCTTGGGCCATCGCACCGAGCGATCCCACAGGACGTCTTGCTGGTGCGAAATCCGCCAGATCCTCTGCCATCCACAGGGCGGGCCTCAGGCGTCTGGGAGGGAGCTCTGAAGAGCTGATGGAAGGGACCGCCCTGCGTTTCGTGAGTGAAAACGCATCGTATTACAGGGAAGCTCCAAAAACTTTCCTGAATTCCAGCGATCCAGATGAAAGTTTGAAAACCTCTCCTTAGAACTGAGAAGAACTTAGCCTTGAATTAAAACAGTACCGCTGTGACAACTGTTCTTCTTGTCGTGGTAGTGGTGCTTGTGCTGGTTGTCTAGTGGCCGATTCATGGTTCCTTCAGGTTAGGATAAGGACAATTAAAAAGCACGCCGTTCATCCCTCCTTCAGGTGTGAGTGAGCATCCATGTGAGAGGTACATTGAGCCCCTACACAGGCCAAAATAAAATCCAACAAAAGTGATGGCACTAAACAATCATGGGCGATTCCCATGCTCGCCAAACTTGAGATACATGCCATAATTATATAAACAACGATTACATTTGACGGCAAAGCGGCGGAAAGAGGGCTGATAGCCGCTTTGCGGCTGATAGCCGCGCTTGGACTTCTCCACCTTCTCCTGAACAACTCGGCATCTTAAAGGAAAGCCTGTGGACCAAGCAAGTGTGGCACCTAACTTCGTTGCATTTTGGCCATCTGCGATGTTGCACTTATTATTCTATCATAATCGAGATTCCACCAAGATCGATGATCATGATTAACAACTGTGGCGTTGGCAACGGCAACAATCCCCAAAACCAAGCAGAATGCTGTACCGTGGTCAGGTGGTCGAACTTAACCAAAGGGCTACATGTCGTGGCCAGCAAGCCGCTGGAGGTGATTTCTTGCTCTCCTGCTTCCATCCTTAAAAGTCCTTAAGGGGGTTTGACGTCAACTTCATTGGAATCAAAGGTGCGCCTATACCGTTGGGCATGTCGTGGGTCACAAAAAGCTGGGACCCAGGAGGGCTAATGAACAAGATGGAATAGCAGGGAACGTTAGCCAACTCTAGACCATCCATGTGTGGTGTATTAGATATATCCCTACACATCTTAAAGCCACCCCAGCGTAGGCAAATAGTCCATGCATGGATTGTCTGAGAATCCTACGGTACGGTTGTGCGTCGTTGACCCACACCTGAAAAAAACCCTCTTCATTGGATGTGAACACCTCGCCTGCCGCAAGGATGACAGCTTTCGCTGGGCATTTGGCTGGGACCGATCGGGCCCATCAGCGTACCTGGGACCAATGAGGTCCCTTTGGGAAGAATTGGGGGATCAGCGTGGTACACAACACAGAGCGACAAACAAACAAACAAACAAGTAGATACCTATTGATTGTACGCAGTGTATCCCCTCTAATTGTTAATAAACCAACAACTTATATAGTTATATAAGTTCAGGAGAGTTAACGGGTGCAAGAGGCATTCATTCTATGCCTGGGACCACTTGAGCCCAATCCAGGGGAAGCATGCGCAGAAATGGGTTCGCAGGAAAGCAACAAATCCCAAGTTCGTCAGGAAACACACGGACCAAGAAACATATTTTGGGGGTCCTACCTCATGACCGGCAACAGTGGATGATGGTTCAGTTGCAGGCCTTCCTCTGAAATAGTGATGTTCTTGTTTACCAACTGTTACAGGGAAGTTCGGATACCATTTTCACATGTTTCACCGTGAGTCGTTTCGCATCCCGAACCCACGAACATGACGAACCGTCCGACGGACCGGACTGGACCCTTTTGGACCCCGCCAAGGATGCCAGGGATTCCTTCGCCCAGGAGCGCTGTGACTTGTGTGTTTTGATGGATGAGAGTGAAAGAGCAAAAACTTTGAGGATAAAACACAAAGAGTTCCTTGGCTGAAAGGGCACGCATGAGTGCACACCCCATGACGTTGGTTCTGTTGTCTCTTCCGTGAGGCTGCCGACACACCTGAAACAGCACTATCCAACTGGGCGGAGCCAAATTTCTTGGTCCTCTTCTCCAGAGATCTGGAAAGGTGGACATTCTGAAGATACAACAAAGCCTTAAAACAGCGCATACAGCAAAATAAATATAAATATATAATATATATATAGTTATATATATATAGTTATATATATAGTTATATATATAGACGCGTTATTATAACGCGTTGCATGCACGGAATCATCTGGCATTTGAGTTCCCTGTGCTCCCCTGCAAAACCCTTCAGAGTTCGGCGCACTCCACGAAGACTTCATAGTCCTTGATGCTTCCAGCCTGCGCAGCTTTGGCGACCTCGACTGGTGACCCGCTGAACGCGGCCCGTCACGGAGCGTCAAATAGAGGGACCAACCAATCGGCATGCCATGGATAACAATGGGAAACATGCAAATCTATAAATTGCTAGTTAAATGGCACATAAATGTGTGACTTTCTTGTGCTTCTCTGGGGTCTGCGTTTCTCATTGCTCTTTGTATAGAGTTCTTTGAGTGGCATCTACAACTCATGCACGCATTGCTTTTCTGACGAAATGAGAACTTCTGAGATTCCAGGCAACTTGGAAAGCTTCGCTGGCCGTGGGGAAATGAGCCTCGGCACGGCATGTTTGATATCGAAGAAACAAGTTCCGCTGCGTCGAAGCTTAACCTGCAAGGAATGAATGCCGGAAAGTCACCGAGGCTTTTGCAGGCAGCCGGGTGGCGACTTTGGAACTCTAGAACGCCAAGCTCAAATGACCTACAGTGTGATATGGGATATGCAAGAAGAACTACCATTATCCAGTTTCTTAAGAACTGCCTGAAACACTCCATTAAGAACTGCAAGAAGAAAAAAACTCACAAGAAGGTCATGAAACACCATTATCATCTTCCAGCGTTCTGCGACGCCTGTGCTGCGCGCCTTTTCTCTGGCGCCTTTTCTCTGAGGAACCGCGTTGGGTGTCAGGGTGTCCCCATTGGGACTGGACAGCTGACTGGCACTGAGTAGGGAATGCAAAACGAGAAGACCATCGAAGACCCATGTCATGTAGAGGTGGTTTTCCGCTTCCATATGCTTCCATCATTATGTCAAGGAGTGCAAGCCCCCTCATGCAAGTAGCAAGATATCGCAGAAGTTTCACAAAGTTTCGCCCTATTGGAGGTTTGAGCCAGGTTCAGTCTCGCTCATTCCCTAGTGGTCGTACCAGCTAGACCAGGGACCAAGTGGTGATCGCCTCTCTGCTTGACAGCTTTTTGGATGCTTTTGGAATCTATTTATCGCGCAGGCTGGACGAAGATGATCTCATACATCTCGCCAAACAATGACCTGCAAAGGCATGGGGCGCCAAAAGTTAAACGCGCAAAGCAAACAAGGAGCCTACCTTGCAAACTCAATCCCACTCATGTCCCCCCTTGGTTTCGCGCAGTGCGGCAGTACCACATGAAATTCATCTATACAGCATTTGGGGTGGGACCGTCTGGAAAACCTCCGGTGTGATCCGCTCCGCGAGCCGCACCTGGTCACAGCGTCCGCTCGCTGTTGCAGCTCTGCCCTTTTGGCCTCTTTTGCGCGCTCCTTGGCCTGTGCGTGACGCCGGGTCGATGGCGGTTCAACTCTTCAACCGTGAAGGGTACCTGATACATCCCTTCAAAGGGACCACGGTGCAGCCCAAACATCGCCCATTGATACGCATGGATCCAAAAAAGAAACAAACATCTTCTTGGCCAACCTCCTGAAGTCTCGTTTGGGTCGAGCCCATGTAGACCAAGCCGATCAAACCGGGCTCAGACTGCTCCCGCTCCCGCTCGGGCTGGGCGACCGCCCGCCCGTACGCCTGAGCGATGGCCTTCTCTGCCTCTTGGGCGCCCTGAACGGAGGCTTCGAAGCCAAAGGAGGGAAGGATGGACTTCTGCCTCTCGAGGGCCACCTGCGCTGAGGTGGAAAGAACGCATCCCAGTGCGTGCGTGAAAATCAAGTTCACTAGGAGTGGAGGGTCTATGCAAGCTCATCATGAGGTTCATATCTTCCTCCCAAATCATGGCATGAATATGGATCATGAACATGATAACGAACATCTTCATACCAGGACCCTCCGACCCGACAGGGGTGTCCTGGCTGGACTACCCCACACTACCTAGGATGGCTTCCAGACAGGGCTCCACCGTCCATGGGACCCGTCCCGGACGAGACCCGCGAGCTCGGCGACCACCGAAGGCCTTGGGAAGGTGCCGCATGAAGTCTTCCTTCCGCCAGCGTGTGTCTCGGCAGAGCTTGGCCACCTGCTGTTGGAAGCCTGAGTCTTCATAGGAAGAAGCCAAGGCCTCCAACAAGTCCTGCGTGATGTGCGGAAAGGGGTTGGCGATGTGCGAGACGCCCCACGTTTTCGCATTCAAAATCATTTGGTGAAAGTGAGATGATAAGAAGGAAACACAATTAAACAAGGGTCACCTGGACCGTTGTTAGAGGTCTTTCGACCATGGGGTCTATGCATGGGGTCTATATTAGTCTCAACTGAGGGCAACCCCCCAATAGTGATCCAAGCATGTGCGGTTTGTACCACCAACACATCTGAATTGAAGGGTGTGTAACACCATCATCGATTCTTCGACCAGACAGGTTAGGTGTGTTGGACCAAAGAATGGATGTCTGATGTCAAACATCGCAATGATGTCGGAATTCTTGGACTGAGCACAACTTGTAAGTAATGTTTCAAGGGCTGGACACGTCGCCGCACATCTCGGTCGGCTCTTGAAATGGTGAACCTGCACCAGCTCCTGCGCGCCCTCCACTGTGAGGACCTTCTCCAGCGCCGGCGGCTCCGGCTCGACGCGCTCCGCGGACTCTGAGCCGACGGAAGTGAAGAGGTCGAAGTCGATGCTAAGGATCAACTGAGCCTGTTCAGCGAACATGAGCTGCATAGACCAGTGACTGACACGAAAGAAATATGACGCCACCGCCTATAGTAACGTTCACGACATGCAAGGATATGGAAAGGCAACATTGAGGTGGTGTGGTGAAATTTCACTGCAACCGCGTCAGTCTGGCCTCAGTCTCTCCATCGAAGAGCACCTGCCAAGAGCAATCTGCTTGGTTGGCGAGCATCCACAACCATTTCCAAGCGTAGTCAGCATTAAAAAACAACAATCTTCCAAACGGCCAGAAACTTCTCCCGCTTCCTGGACTCACGAACTATCTCCTGTCCCTAAGGATCCAAGTACCCTCTGAGAAGGTGTTTGGGGTAGGTTTGGAGGGTCCAAGTACCTTTGGAGGAGGTACGACTGGATCCCTGGGGTGTCTTTACCTTCTATCCTCCTGCACTTCTCCATGTTCTGGTCAAGGACAGGACAAACATCTTCAGAGGAATTTGCTTCACTAACTATCCAACCTAACGTACTGTAACACCAGAGACGACGGCTAAGAACATACACACCGATCTCAAAACACTACATAGAGTATATAATGTACAGGAAACTTGATGAATCATCTACTGCAACATACTGCAACCCCTTCAACCACCCCTTGAATCTCCACCAGTTGAAAAACCTCCACCCCTCCCCCCACCCGAAAAAATCGAAAAACATAAAAATAACCTTCGAAACCGCCCTGCACTCTCCCCCTCTGCGGTCTTCCTTCGAAACGGCCTTCATGTCGCCGTCACCGTCCACCGCGGCCACAGTGCCCCGATGCCCCGCAGGCCACTCCGCGAAGGCCGCGCGCAAGACCACGCCTCGGCTAGGTCGGTCACGGTCGCGAAGGCCACGTGTGCCGAGCGCATCGGTGGAGCGAGCTCTGCTCTGAAGCGAACGACCGAACGAGCTGTAAGTCTATATTACTGGCCAGTATATAAATATATAAATTATATAAGCTTAGTATATGTGTGGAAGAGTATAGAGCTTATGATGTGCCTTACAGCCTAACTCTGAAATCTCAATGATTCATTCACAAAAACAACATAAAGGCAAAGCCACACTGGGAAATGATGACCAGGAAATGCATATGGAATTTCAATGAAACATCCAAATAAGCTGAACGTGTTCTGAAACTCACTATCTTTTCTTGTGGGTCCCTGGTTTACTATCCGAAGAACATTGGAAGTGCTTGGCATTGTATAGCGCTGTTGTTGGTTGCACTTGCGGCTGTTGCTATGTATTGGCGTCGTCGTCCAAAAGAGTTCAGACATGGGGTTTATTCGGGCTGTCTTTTGGGTCCTCCTTAAAATGGCTTATGTGTGTGTGTTTTTGCACGGGCCTCGTAGAACCGTTTTGAACCTCGACCACTGAAAGACACATTTCATTGAAACCAAGGGATTCTAAGGGATTGTGTCCACGAACGAAGTGGCTTGTCCTCGCAAAAGAACGCGCGTGCCACCTCACTGGGATTGGGATTGGCATTTTTGCTCTACATATACAAGGGGTGTGTGCTCAGCTTCCATGCTTGGTCTGCAAAAAGGAGGGTATTGGATTCGCCTGAAAAAGGACCTCAGAAGGTCATGGTTTTGGAGAAGGTCTCGTGGGCACAGGGCCTTCCAAGTTCGACCGAGGCTAAGGCCCTAAGGACCCCATTGGATTTCACTCCTTGGACTCCTTGGATGGCATGGCCCTGAAAGAATGACCAATGATAGCGGTTGAAATACCAAACAGGTGGTGAACTCCCACTTCTCATGATCATTCCAGGGAGTGTATATATAGCGACCATGTTCATACATATTCCCAAGCAATGGATGGTATAAGGTGGTCAAGCCGGGCAGGATGCCCAGGCCAAGGCACTGGTTAGAAGAGCTTCCGCTTTCAACACCCTTACCCCGCCCGGAGCTCTCTGAATGCCCAAGCTGCAATCCCCCACGCTGAAGGGACACTCCTCTGCAGTGGCCTCCTCCAAAGCAGCCTCCTCTGCCTTCGAAGAGCAGCATCCGCAACCCCCCGCGTGTCATGTGGGCCATTTCACAACCCCGCTGAGTCACACTCTGTTCTACTCTCGTAAAATGCAACCATATCAAACCCCAATGGATCCAGGAATGCTATGTCAGACTAGTCATTGAACACTGGATCGAGACCCGCTGGAACCTGAACCTCCAGTTTTAGCATCCCACCAGGTCACCAGCGTCTTGCCTCCCACACAGCTTCGCCGGTCGTCTCGCGAGCGTCCCACGAGACCCGAACGTCAGCGCCTCCAGCTCTTTCAGCTCCTGCTCCAAGTCCTCCAGCCTTTCCTCCGTATCTTCCAGCTCCTCATCCGACGAGGTCGTCCACGATCCGCGGCATGCGATCTCATCCTTGGAGTGTCTTACGTGGCCTTTTACAGGCCCTTTTGTGACCTCAAACTGGAAGGACGGCCACTTTGAAGAACCAGGTGTGAAACTCCTCATGTGCGAAGACCCCCTGCTGCAAGGCTTTGCGCATCTGCCAGCCCTCCGTCTCTTGGTGTTGGGACTCCAACATCGCCACATGCCGTCCTGAGGTGTGACAAAGCCGAGCTGGAAGAATGGCTAGGAGAAAAAGAAAAAGGCTGCGAACTTGACCCAATGTCAGGCCTTATACCAGCCTCAAGGGACACCAACAAAGGGTACAAAGGGTGAAGAAGGTGGACTGGGAGGCAGGTAAGAATTGGGTTCTCACCCCTGTGGATCCGGCATTTTTGTTGAGGCACTCGGAGTGCCTCAAACCCCAATGTACAATCTGGGATGTCCTTCCTGTAGGTCCTGGCGATTGACCGCTGCAATGAGTACTGCAATGAGTGATGCTAAAGCTGCATACAAAGAAAGAACACAATTGAGGACACACACTAAAAAAGATGCACCGTGCACCAAAAAAGACACACCGGCCAGGAAGTTGGTGGGCATCAAAAAACAAACCAAATCCATCTACTGTAAATCCCCACACATGCACATCCCGCGGCCCGCGGCTTGGAACTCCCCACACATGCACAGCCGTGCCTTTTGACCAAACCGCGTGAATGTAACCATTCCCCTCAAACCATGAAACTGGACGTTCCCTAGCTTGCAGCCACCTTCCATACCCTGAAACTGGCCATCCATATTATGCATACCAATCAATCAATCTATCTATCTATTTATAGTTCATATCTATCTATCTATCTGTCTATCTATCTACCTGCAAAGAGTACAGCACAATGCCACCAATCTAAGATAACTACTCCAAACATCTCCCAAACCTTTCTTTGCCTCAGCATCTTCGCGTCTCAACGTCCTTCTGCAGCCGCTCCGCGTCGGCACGTCCCACGGCAATGGACTCCACCTGGACCGGGTCCCGGACGGAGTCCGACCTAGTTCGACCGGAAAAGCGGACCACTCGTCGGAATGAAGAAGCACCCAGAGAGGAGTGGTTTATTTCCGTGTTTTTCATGGTCTTTTTCGGTGTTTTTTTGCGGATGCCTTTCTTGTGATCCGAGGTGATGGCTTGTGTCATCCCCCACCACTGGAAAGGAACTGGAAGATCCCTCATCCCTCAAGCTCTTCATCACAAATCACAAATCATTCATGATCATTCTATTTACAGGGTGTTGAAGTGTCTCCTCACCTGAGCCAGGGCCTCCTCTTCCTCCGCATAGCGCCCTGCAATGTCCGAGCTTCGGTCGACAGGTCGACCGCTCGTGCAAACGAAAGGATTCAACATGATTCAACGTATTTCCACGTGAATCTCCATGGGGAAGGGCACGCCGGATTGGCGGGACCCACCTCCCTATAGAAGCAATCCTGGAGGCACTGCTGAGACCATGTGTCAAAACCTCGGTTCTGCCCCATGCGCAGGAGCTGCGCCTAGGCCCTCCAAGGCACAAGCTCGCCGGAACCAGGCTTTGTGGTCCTGGTTGGGGCGACCCGAGGCCTACCCTGAGCAGCGATTGCACTACCCTGCAGACTAACATGGACCCTGAGAAGCCTGAGAATGACACCCTGAACGACTGGCTTTCCTCTACCAAACCAGTGCTTTTCAGAGTTCATGTTAGTCTTCAGCGATCTATACAAAACAGGCTACCCTGAAGTGGCCTGGGCCTCCGAAGCCCCCCTTGTTAGCCTCTTTCCACCACATCGTTTTCTGTAAGGAAGCCAATCCCACAAAAAGGTCAAAGGATACTCAAAGGTTATCCCACTTTTCCTGGGTACGGTTCAGTCTTCTGGTGCCCTCAGCTTTGTATTTAGTGTCACATCCCACCCATATTTCCTGGTCGTCGATGGCTAAGCAATCATCGGCTGCTCGCAGTGCGTCAGTCCAGTGTCCCAGCTTGATCGCTGCCTGGCGTGTGGAAAAACGTGGAACAGTCAAACAGCGTGGCTAAACAGGGCTCACAGTACGTGAATATGTTTTCCATCCTGGCTCCCCCACCAACTACGCTGATCACGTTGCTGAACAGAACTCCAAAATGAGAAAGCAGCTGAGAAAGCACCTGGGCGACGTTCTTCAATAGGATCACATGAAGCTCCTTCACCATCTTGTTTCCTCACGCAGTGCCCAAACCGGATCCAACACTATAAACATTTCAGTATATTTCAGGGCTGAAGGGAGCAAGTGCGTGTAATATATTTCACTAAGAATACTAAGAAGCAGTCCATGTATATCACATAATAGATATACATGTATACACTACACCCTGCTAAGTAAAGCATGGCGTGCTATACCCAAACATTCCGAATGAGCATTCCGCCGGCATCCGCTTGCGCTATACCTTTGCAGCTGCATGCTGCCGGCATCCGCTGCTGGTCAAAGTGCGTTCGTCACCAGCGTCTCCCTTTCGACCGGGAACTCACTTACACCGGTGGGACCGTTGTGATTGGTACGTGACACTTCAATTGGTGAACTCCATGCGGCCACAAACATACCCCAGTGAGCTGCGACTTGTCAACTCTACTCAGAGTAGCCCCCAAATCTGATCTATACCCCTTAGGGATCCAGTCGTACCTCCTCAAAAGGTACTTGGACCCTCCAAACCCACCCCAAACACCTTCTCAGAAGGTCCCTGGATCCTTAGCGATATGAAATATCTTCTAACCCTGGGCTTAGCCACTTGGATTCGCTTGGAGGGGTAGTATGGAGATCCTTGGATGAGCCAGCTTCTCAGCAATCACACCGAATGGATTCCATCGACACAACGTGCCAATCTCCACGTCCTTCAATATCCTGTGGTGGGAGTCGCTTCTGGTAGAGGCAGGCTTCACTCTCGCACCAGCTTTCAAAAGCTTCCGCCACAGAACCTTGCAGTTTGACCGGAACCTTCCAGTTTGACCAGTGCAGGAGTCAACCAGTTAGTTCTACTAAGTGACGAGCCACTCAGATTCGACTCCAAACCCTGTGTACACCAAAAAGAGACGTGGTTGCCAAGTTGATGCCCTTTGTGGTGCTGTTGCACCTACACAACGACTTGATCATCCGAACACGACTGGTTAACCAGCTGATGTTCAAATGTAAACTCTGCCGAGCCGCGCCATCCATTTGGGTTTGGGTCCAGAAATTGAACTTGAGAGAGGAGGGGGTGAACGAAAGGTAGCAGGCAATCACAAGTAACCCTGGTAGAAGTCCATGACGGCGTCAAAGGTGGATGGATGTGACCCAAACAGCGACGGCGCAGGGGGGGGAATGATCCATATATATGTATACATGTTTGCTAAAGCAAGGAGAACTCAGCCTAAGGACCCTGCTACCTTTTGTGACTTGAGACAGGGAAACACGTAAGGTAGAGAGGTACCAGGAATATATATATATGAGAGGTGTAGTGCGTGGTCAAGAAATTGAATTTTCTGTCTCAACCCAACGAACACTGGCCAGCACTGATGTCATTCTGTCCTAAACTATATCTTAATACAGACTGGACTGGACTGCTAGTCAGGCACAAGCGGGCCCAGCCAATTGGGCCAAATGCAAAAGAATCTGCGATTCAAAAGGATTTCTCCTGCCTTCGTGCCACGCGATGTAGCCATCCTCTGCAGAGGAAGGAGTCGCAAGTACAGTTGATGGACCTGATGGACCTTTCATTAATATCCATATATATTATATAATATATATGAGCAAGCAGCTGAAACCCTAACATCAAAATCAAACGTTTTCCTCTGGGTCCTTTGCTCCTGGACCAGCACTGCACTCCAACGCGTGTTCGACCGGTGGAGGTTTTTTTTCGTCCGACTCCTTCCGCGATGCGGCACGGGTCCTTCCGCAGCTTTTGCGCACGGGTCATGAGCTTGGCCATGGTGTCGGTGTCCAGCACCATGGGCTCGCTTCGCTCGGCCTGTTTGTAATCCTTATCGGGCACAGCGGTCGGGGAGATGCAGCGAGCATACGGAACCGGGACCAAAGAGGGTCAATAGGGTCGGGACAAAGCCGGACATGCTGAAAACCTCGACAACAACCAGTTTCACCTGACGCTTAGAATTTGAGAGTAACCTGCTGGGGAACAACAGCAACAACAACAACAACTCCCTGCAGATTCATAGGAGTCAATGAAAAGCCTTGAAAACGGACTGACTGACTGTACCAATTTCCTTCAGTAGTTTCAGGTGCGCATGTCACCAACACTTTCTGGAAAACGTCGGGAAATGTTAGAATTATGGCCGGACCCTTGGAGATCCTCAACAGCTCAGGATCACCACGGGAGTTAGGCAAAGGAACATACAGTGGTTTCAGAGTAGATGGCACAATCCCTCCAAACATCTTGGGGGATTGTGCCATCTACTTCTTGAAACCACTGTAACCCTCTAATCCTTCAAGAGACCTTTGGACTTCACCATCCAGAGCTATCGGTCCTTTAATCATAAATATCAAGCCTTGGACTTCAGCCAGTGGACCAGAGCTATCGGTGCTGGATCGCCTTGTTTGATTGCCCAAAGGGGGATTGGCTATCTGTGTGTGTGTTGGAATGTGTTTGGAATAGAATTCTGGAACATCTCCAACAAATGCACATCAAAAAGGAACCGCTACAATTTTTGGGTCTGTGAATGTCCCTCTCCGCGGGCTGTGCATGTGCACATGTCATCACCACTTCATTGGTGAATGGCGCTGAAACGTCACACCAACGACACGCCGCGCGTTGGCGTCCAAAGCCCCTTGCCGCCCTCTCCCTTCCGGGCTACGAGGAGACGATCCTTGGCGCGAGCCTCGGGTTGGCAGAAACGCCACCCCACAAAAACCAACTACCAGGACACCCTAATTAAGGGGCTTCCTTCCATTGATGGCCCCTGTCCAGGGTGTCCAGGGTGTCCATCAAGCACCCCGACCGTGCGTCCTGGTATAGAACTGGTTTCTTTCACCCCAAGCTATGTCAAACGCCGCCAGATGTGCCGCTTCTTCGCGGTCCGGGATCGACCGGGTGGATCGGGTCCGAATCGGCCGGACGCAAGGCTCCGCATGGGTTTTGCGGCTGACAGGTGAGGATCAAACATCGAATCAAAACACACAACACCAGGGACCAGCTATATAACAAAAATGTGCATGTCTGCAATTGGATCTTATAAGACCTTGTCTCTGTATACTATACCGGTCCATTCACCACGATCTTCACCGAACAATCCGCTTCCCTCGTCCGGAACTCCCAGGCGCCGTGAACTCGTCCAGCAAGCGCGCGGCCTCGTCGCGTCCGCCCTCGTCCAAGCGCGTTCGCAAGGATCTCAGCTTCTCTACCTGTGGCAGTTGTTGGAGGAAGCCGAAAGAAACGTATACGGGCAAATGAGTAAGCAAGCTTCTGAATCCGCTTCACTAGAGCGAAGTGGACGACTTAGTCAGCTTACCTACGCTGAATCAAGCCTTTCACCAAATCTTTCGTTTGGGGTGGTCCTGCCCTCATATCATTTTACCCTATTTTACCTGGTGCTTGCTTGTTCTAGTCCAGCTCGTCAACAGTAAAAGTGTGGGGACACAACACCTCAGGCTGGTGTAAGCCGAAGCAGTTCCCTCTTTGCGCACTCATAGACATTCCAAAATGCAGGCTGTCATTCATTGTCAAACACAATCAAAAACATAGATTTTGCAAAGCACGCTGCCAAATAACTAGTATGCCTTAGTATGCCAAAGACTGAATTTTGGTTGTGAGTACTTGAACCCTCCCGGAGCCATGTACCAAGCATCACCCATGTCCAGCCCGTACCGACGTCACATGACGTCCTCCCACCTCGTCCGGCCGACCCTCCAGTAGTTGGTTCAAGGACGTCCGCTGCTGCTGGGCCAGGCGCAAGGAGGTGCTCAAAGCAATCTCCGTGATCTTGTACTTCCTTCACATCTTGGGGAGACGAACTGGGGGGCACATCTCGGAGATTCGAAAAGAAGAACATGAACGCCGATATAAATTCATTAATTCTATATACCCAACCGGGTATAGGTGTCGGGTGGGAAAAAGAACAAGCACGGTTGGTGCGTTCCGGCTGGTTGTCTTATGGTAAGCTTCGAGCTTCAGGAAGTGCAGGAAGTTTTGGGGCGCTGTGGAGTTTGTCAGGCATGGCACTGGACCTGGGGTTACCCTCTTCAGGGGCTCCGAAATACATCCTGACAAGGTGGGACTGAGGCGGGTGCCAGGGGGTCCAAACACCTTCTGAGACTTGCAAGTCCCAAAGAACAGGGCCGAATGGCTGGAAGTTCTGGAATCGGCCCTGCAGCCCTTCGGCCTCTAAGAGATCTTAAACACGTGGCCAACTTTCTCTCCAACTCCTGGGCAGGTCCCCCAGGAGTAAAGACATGGCCACTCACCTCCACCTCCACCCATGGCCACATCCCATGGCCACTCCCCTCCACCCCGATCTTGTCTCATTTAAAGCCACATGATGGGCGCAACCAAGCGCTTGATCTGCGGAGCGCACTGCTCCAACTCCTCCGTCAGCTGGGCCCTCAGAGCGTTGGCCAGCTCCACTTGTTCCAACTGTCGTAGCCAAACATTTCCTGAAAAAGGCTGAGACTAAGAACACTGAGAAAAACATGCACAGCCGAGACCATGCACATCTGATCGCATCTGCATGTTTGATAAGATTTGGAAATTTGGAGTAGCAAACCCTGGGGTGCGTCAACAAGCAAACACCTAGTCTTTGATCAATTGGCCACTCCTCAAAGTGACCAGTCTGAGCTTGTTGCTGAATCTCAAGACATCTCAAGACTATTTGACCTGTGTTTACCTATGCGAAACGAAGTCCCTTCTTGCACCTGTACGAAGCAAAGTTTGGTGTGCTTTTCTCTACCCGCTATGATCCACCGTCTCATTGAGTTGTTCTTAGGGCCGTCTCATTGCAGCAATGTGATGAAGCCCAGGTTCTTCTGTTGGTCCAGTGTCTTTCGTTCTTGAGGATGGCCTTGGCATAGGGTTTCCTGGACATGTTGTCCCAGAACTCCTGCGCTTCATTGCTCAAAGGTGCGGCCATCGGGGTGCTGGGTGGGCATTGCTGGGTGCAGCCTGAGAGTAAGCAAAACCAGAAGAGTCAGAAAGGCCGTGAATCGATTGTTGAAGGTTGCCAGCTGCCGAGAACATCTCAAAATGGATGAAACATGCGACTATATAAATCATCTCTCGACATGTGACTAATGAACTTACTGTCAACAGCCAACTTTTCGAATCTATCGTGTGGTTCTATTTAATTAGAAATTAAGTTATATAGCAAAGAAATATATAATTGCATGATACTGCATGAGTCGTTTCGGTTTCTCTAAAGTTATCGCATTAAACACCCAACAGCTGGCCATCGGCACACATGTCTCTTCGCTCCTGAGAGGTCTCTTCCAGAAGCAAATTGGGATTCACTCGGGGGTCCACCTTCTCCAGCTCCAGTTGTTGCAGCATCCATTCCTTTGTCCAATGTGAGGGAATGGAAGGATAGCCCAAGTCATCGAACTCCTCTTGAGACATATGGCCTCGGTGGCGGCCCGCCGAAGGCCTTTTGCAACAGAAAGAGAAGGGACACACCATCCATCTCAAATATCTCAGTTTAACTAGAACACAAAAATCAAGCATAAGTTGGAGAAACAAATACGATACACAATGATCTAGCCCATGTCTATATCCGAAGAGCACGCGCTGAACATTTTGGAGGTGCAGAACAGCTGGCAAATCAATGGTGTTCAATATTATACAGTATCCCGTCTGCCATTTGCTGTTTTGAGCACAACCCATTCCCGAAATTCAACATCTTTCTGCTCTCCTGCTCTCCTGCTCCTTCCACAGCCACCCCCCACATATCATCGGCTCGACGGTCGCTCCTGATTTCACGTCTTTTTCCAATGCCCAGTGCAGTCATGGAACTCTTGGGCAGCCGCACCGGGCCATGGTCACGGCCCGCGCCCGTCATGATGTCGGAAGGTGAAAGGTTTCGGTTGGGGGTCTGGGGGTGGTGGCCTGAAAGCACTCGGCAGTGCGCCAGCAGCTGAAAGAATCCGGTTTGCTAGGGTCTGTGATGGGTGTAACAAGGATGGCATCCCACGAGATCCAGTGAAACGTATGGCATGTAACGTCTTCTCTCTCGCACTGTTCTAAAGGCCCAAACAACAGCCCCAATCCCACCCCAGCATGATATATGATATCAATGCTATGTGATAAGCTGCCCATGATGAGCTACTAAAACATGTCCTGTTAGAAAGTTGGTAGGGTCTGCTGGTCTGCTGCATGTCTGAACTTGCTTCGAATGCACCGCCTTGGAAGCTAAATGGTGCTATGGGCTGGGCAAAACGAGGCAACGGGATATCGTATGATTTTGAGGGAAGCGAGAAGGGATTGAATCATTGATTCTAAGAGGTCTAGTAGAGTGTGCGCACGCAGCTGCAGCAGCTACGCTTCATCAAAGGCTCTTGTCATGGTTGGATGTGTCAACTGGATGATGTCTTTGAACTCCGATGCTAATCAACTTTACAAATACACTCTGACTCACTAACATGGAAGTGGATGGCATGGCCCCTTGGAAGACTTTCCTTTACGAACAAAGGGGGTGAACACCCCCCGTAAGCATGTTTTAACTGTGTTCGTCCAAGAGGCCTCTTGGCAACGGGGCAACCCTCACTGCGGGGGCTAAGCCTGGTGTGGGAACTCAGGGCTCTACTGACTCGAGTGGTAGTAATCCTGTAAAAGTCATGAAGAAAAATCGAAGTTAATTGGTGAGCAGGTCGGCCAACCTCCATCCCAATATATATATATATATACTAGGACCTTCCAAGAGGTGTCTATAAATAGCCTCTTAGGGTTTTAAGAGGTGGCCAAAAACCACCTGTTGGAAGGTCCTGGTATATATATATATATATTATACTAACTTATATAGGTTCGTTGCCCCTATAACTGAGCTCTTGACCATACCAGCCATGGCGCTTGCGCGAACGGAGAACCGGCAAGTATGAAGACTGGTTGTGCCAGCGTAGCTAGTTCGGGAAAAGTGCTCTAGTCTCTAATGATTCCCAGCACTATTCCTGCATACCTATACCCTAGGATTCGAACAATCATTGCTGCCATCGTCTTTTCCAAAAGGACCATTAGTTTTATACTAAGGATCGTTTTTGACACTGCACCGCCAGGTCAACCATTCTTTTGATTGTCTTTGAAGGCTAGGGTATACAATTAATTAGCCACTACTAGCCTTGGATTGGATCCCCCTGTCATGACGCTGGCCCATGAAGGGGGAAGTTTGCTGCAGGAGCTTCATGTGGGCTGGGGAACTTCAGCACTTTCCCCTGTCTTGCGCACCCCCGAAGCAAAACCGCCCCTCCCCCTCTTAGGCCAAGAAATGCATTCGCATGCCGCATCTTTCCATGATTGCACTGGAAAATCACTAAAAATGAAATCCCTGACTAGCAAAACCGACGGCAAATCTGTTTTTCGGTGGAAAAGAGTATGCCCAAAACCGAAAACCTTTTCCTCTGGGTCTGTTGAGTCTGTTGAGTCTCGGGTCTGGCCCTGGCTGAGTAGACTGGTCGATTTGCCGTGTAGACTTCAAGGGGTCTTTAAGAGGCGATCGCCATATTTGTATACACACCCGTAATCCATCTATGCACAGCACCATCAAACCAAATGTACACACATGAAAAGCCAACATCATTTGCACGCCTTAACTTCAACTTCACCATCTTCCATGCCATCTCCATCTGTGCATAATTACCGCGCACCGCACCGCCATACTTGCCCCCAAAACACAGTCACATCTGTCCATCAGATCTGACAAAAATCTGAGCAGCACCGATGGAGACCGACCCTGCTTTTTCATCGTCCTAGTAGCTTCTTGCTACTTGTAGTAATGGCCTCCAACCTACTAGCGATGGTCTCCACCCTAGCTTCTTGCTCCACCCTAGCGATGCCCTTTTCAGCGTCCTGCTTTGATGCGTTGCTCCTCCAATCCGAGCTCCTTGCGGCGCACGTCTTGCGCCAGCCGCCGCCGCAGCACCGCCCCGTCCGTGACGGCATCTGGGCCGAACCACCTGACGCTGCGACCCGTTCCCCGCGAAAGGGCCGAACTACGGACTTGGCCTGGAAGAAATGGGAATTTTAAGGTACTTGCCAAGGCACTTCTGCCAGCGTTTTGTTTTTTTTGGCATTTTCCACGTGAAATCGGTGAATTACGTGGAGCGAAGGACCCACAAACCCACAAGTGCGTGCTAAACAACTCCAGGCTCAAACTTTCCGTGAGCTGGTTGAACCTAAAAGTCGTGCAATGAATGTGCTGATCCGCATCAACCACCCGTCTGATAGTTAACCGTAAAGTGTACAGGTACAAGTCTTCGTCAAGGTAGATCAACCCCAATCAGTTTGACCTCACTTAAATAAAACATTCACAATTGCGAGGTGCAACAATCACAAAAGTACATAGGATAATCCGACAACCCCCATGAAGTTCTTGATCTGAGCTATTTACTCGGCCTCTCCGGCCTATCATGTTGAAGCATGTCCGGGACGGAGGTTCTCCCATGTTCCTGATGAACCAACTGCTTCTCTCCAAGCACAGCTACTATTTTTTACTTGAACCTCCTCGCCCTCGCCCTCCCCCGCCTCTTCAACAACCACTCGAAGGCCGCAGGGAAGGCCGACTGCAGCACTGCGTTGGCCTCGCGCGCGGTCATCCTGGCGTCCCCGAACTGCGCGGGCGACGGCGCCAGGTTGGAGCGCGCTGGGGCGCCCACGCCGAAGATGATGCGCAAGGGCTGCTCGATGGCCTGGAGGCGCGGAGCGATTTGCAGCTTAAGGATTTGCTGAAGGAACTGGGGAAAAAGAAAGGAAAAATTTCCCCAGTTCTGGGATTCAGATGCACTCATATATGAGTACGAATGAAGACGTGTGACGTAGGGCCAATGCATAGAAACCATCCGATTCTGCAACACCAAGCTTTGACAGGAGACTTTGGAGGTTTGTCCGGGTCGGAAAGCTTCAATCACCAGCCTACGGTAGAACCAACCTCAAAATCCTCAAAGACCATGCTGTGAGAGAAAAACACGTCACGCATTGAACTTCTACGTTCCGTTTTCCCTGTTCATTTGTAGTGTAGGGAAACTGATCCCCCCAAAAGTGTTTAAAGGTTATCCACTCTTCTTAGGAGTAGGACAACCGGATTCCCTCCCGCATGGTCGCCCGGTCGACCGTCACCCGCCAACCTGCTCCCTTCGATCCGGTCGCGCCTTGCGCCCGGGGCGGAACTCCGGGGCCACTGCGTCGATGATGGGCTTGGCCCAGGCAGGCGCTAAGTGGTTCCCCTCGCCGCAAAGGAAACGTCCACAGGCCTCACAGCTTTTTGACCGGCGAAGCGGCGAGATGGATGAAAACAGGTGAAGATGGGGCGGAGGGGAACTTGATGGCGAACAGTGGCAAATAAGTTTAGTTAATTTCATGACCTTTCGATTTTGTGGAAATATTCACATCCTGACCGATGATTCCAATGATGCACAAGTGTACACAGCGACACCACCATGTGAGCTGTGTTGTAAACGTCTTATATCCCGGCACCAAACAAGGCAACGCGTACGCCGCATCTTACGTTTTGCTTACGCGCGCACAGTTTTGCTTACGCGGAATAAACCGGCTTACGCAGACCTTACGCTGGACATTTTTAGTACCCGGCCACAGCCCCAGCTTACGCGCAGCAACTTTTACCTGCAGGAACCGCAGCGTTTCTAGGCAGCATCAAGCAGTAGAAGATGATGACGTGGACGAAGAAGATGAAGCCGATGAAGACGCAGCAACAGAAGAAGCCCGCAGATGACGAAGTTGACGACGCTTCTTGGCAGCACCTCTGCTGAGCTCGTGGGCATGACAGATAGACTGGGCACCACTGATAGCGGACAGGCCAGGAAGGACAGATTGACATCTAGAGAAAGCCTTGTTCAGCAAGAGGTGTGCTTCATCCAGAGAAGGGCAATGTTGTTCCAAAATGTCCGAGACGGTCTTTGCGACAAGTCCCTGGCGCTCTGCACCAAATTGCGAAAATGATTTGTGTTTGGGAGACATGGGCAACTACTGGCAAAAGCAGCTTTGGCTTACGCGCCGCTTACGCGGACCTTACGCGGATTTTGGCTTCCAACCCGGAAACAAAGTTCGGAGGTGAAGGTCTTGAAAAAGGTATGACACTATGGGCACATACATTACAGTGTTGCTGTTTCCATCCGATAGTACAGTGCAGTTGTTAAAACTCCTTTTCTTGGTGGACAATCCTTTTCATTGCGGGCTTTATCATGATTTCGTTTTCCATGCAATTCAATCTTGCAGAATCATCAGAATCACATTCAACCTGCAGCATGGAGCTTGCCGCCACTTGGGGAAACAAAAATCCAGCAACCTGACAGTGATCCCATGGATGTATGTTAAGCTGTAAGCTTGGAATATAAAAGGTTCGTCCAAAACTGCCATTTCACAAATCACCAAAAATCTCTTACGCCAACAACATTGGCTAAAATTGCTTACGCGGGCTTACGCCCACTAGTGTTTTGCTTACGCCACGGGTCCTTACAAGGATCTCCTTACTTGACATGACAACTGAGGTTTAAAACGTGGCTCATGTGTCCTTTGTTTGCCGATCGTTTACTATCCTTTCTTCGTCCAATGCGGCGATCTCTTTGCCATATCATTAAAGCTCAGTGGTCGGTCGTGACAGCTACCCTCGGTGGTCTGTGACCTAGGACCTCAAGAGTTCCACCGGGGTTTACAAACCTGGCGGCGCTCCAAGGTCGCCGGGCTCTGGGGTCGGATGAATTCACCAGGTCAAAAATTTCGATGATTTTTTTCCACGGAAGTTAGCTTTCAGAATCACAGCGAGAAAGTCAAAAAAACAGGAGTGAATGATACTGAAATTGACATGAAATTGGCCTCATCATTCTCTAAATAAAGGTTCTCACCAAGGTTCCCAACCAAGGTTCTCAGGGTCCAGGTGTTGCACGGTCACCTCACACGGCCCTCCCCTCGCAGCGCTTGGGGACCCTTGGGGGCCCTTGGGGACCGGTGGTTCGCCAGCCAGCCAGCCCCATCCTCTCGGGTCTGCCTTCCGTGTCTCCGCATGAGCGAGCACGAAGTGCTCTGGAGAACGGACCCCCAAATACTTCAACGCCTGCTTGGCCGCGACAGACGCCTCAGTCAACCAAGCACGGTCTTCTGTGGCCGCGGTGTTCGAAGAAAACATAAACCAAACACTCCATGGGACTGTCATATTTACTATATTTACCTACATTGGGGTGGTTTGAGGGGTCAATGTAGGCTATATATCCTCTCATCTTACAGGGGTCGGGATGTCCAAAATGGATTATCCAATTGAAAGGTCCCCCCATTATCCAAATTTGTTGCCTGGTGGGGGTGGCGAAAGCTAGGAGGGAACAAGGAGGTATGGTGACGGGCTGTTACTGCGCTGGGAGCAGTGTCCCTAGAGTGCATGGGCAAATAATACATGAAAGTAATTGAAACCCATTCAACCGCGCAACTTTGTTATGTGGACAATGGTCATATCAGTGAAAACACAACGGCAGCACGCGTGCCAGCTCGCTCGATCTTTTCTGGGAAGTCGACGTCTAGCTGCCAAGAAAGCATCAAGCTCTGCGGCAGCGTCCACTGCACCCTCCGTGCAGCCGTCGCCACTTTCAGCATGTCTCGGATGTGCTGCTTCACCCGCAAAGAATCTTCCATACTGACATACTGCTGATCAAGGCGTGTTCTTGCTCATCAGATCCTGCCACTTCGTCTGCGATAGGCTCCGCTTCCCCCTCGTCCTTGGCACGGTGACTGCAGAAATTCCGGGAAGAGGATTCAACCTACCAGCTACTCTAACAGTTTCGGGCACTTAGAGACAGCTGCGCACTTTTTTACCGATATCCGATGCGCAAAGCAACTTCAGCCATGCATCTCCCTCTATAAGAGGATCAAGGTCACATTCTTCTTCGCTGCCTCGAGCCAAAACATCACAACCCCCGCCTTTCCACCAGTTGAACAGGGTCTCACGAATGTCTTGGGGCCGCTTGCCACGGGTCACCCAAGACAAAAAGCGGCTGGCATTTTGCAGAGCTTGCGCTGCAATCTTGCGAAGTTCCTCATCCGACACATTGTTGCAAGCGCTCGAGCTGGGTGGGGGCAGCTTCCACTTCATTTGCTGGAGGTGGGACTTCTGGGTCGACAGGATTGCATCTTTGATCGAAGGCTTCCCTGTGTAGTCCCGCTTCAGTTCGCTGAGCTGCTTCTCCGCAAAGCAATGCGCACAGCCGATGTTAGCAGCCGATTTGCATATGAGCAGTGCGCACGCCAAGGTCTTTGCGATGCTGCGTATCGTGCACAAGGGCAGAAACTTGGAAGACCAGGCCTTCCCATGCTTGGCCTGTAGCTGTGCCAGGTTTGCCAGCAAAAGGTAATAGGCTAGCAATGCATTTCTTGCCATGCTTGTCACGCTGAGGCCACGGCTCCCTTCAGTGCAAGAGCTCACCAGCGCCCCCACGAACATCATAATATGAAGGCCGCAAGCATCACTTGAGCTGGTCAAATACACAGGGTTCATTCTGCTGAAGCTTTCTGCATCACATTCGGGATCGTGAAGTGTGAATGCCCCGGTCCCCGTCCTGGGGCCAAATTTGAAGGGATTACATGGGGTGTCTGAAAGCCGCAAAGCCTAAAAGTAACCATGGCCTACATCACTCTCTACATGGTTAGAGAGTCACACTGTTGCAAAACATGCGCGGCTCAGAACACAGTCAGGCATGCATGATGTGGGTCCTCCTCCCAACAAAGTGCTGAAGTCGACATAGCAAGAGCCCCACCAAATCGTACGGGTTGCACTCTGGTGGTGTGAGCTGAAGCGCTTCAAGAGGTGTAGGGTGTCAATGGACAACATCACTGGAATGTTGCAGTAGCAAAGCTGCCCAAAAGGAAAGTAGGGGACACCCTCAATCCGTGCCACAGAGCATTGGTCCCAGAATGGGCCTCGCAGATCAGGCGTCGTGATGCGGCCACAGCCCGTTGAAATTATCAAGTCGTTGGCTGTGCCACAGTCTACGGCAAACCCCAGTGGCGGCAAACCGCTGTTCTCTCTTGTTAGGGCGAGCAGCACTTGCCCAAGGACTCTATGAAAAAAAAGTCTTGCCGCCTGTAAGAGACAAAGATCATACCGCGCATCCTTGCGATCAGACCGGCGCACTAGAAAGTGAATAGTTTGCTTGCTCAGCTTCTCAGGGGGTAGTCGGTCTAGCTGCTTCAATGCGCTCCAATCATCCTCCGCTCGTTCACTAGTGGCGCCTGCTTCAAGTTGAGAACCCCATGATGCTGATCAATGTCATCAAAAGAAAGTTGCTTGCTATCCTCTGCCGGATTCGGTTGGCTTCTTTGGATGCATGGCTGCAGGCTAGGGTTGCGACACTTCAACTCCCTGTGGAAGATGAAGCAGAACAAGCGTCTTTAAGCAGTCTATCACGCACCCTTGCCCTTGCAGTTGCCAACGGCACTGTTGCAGAAAGTGATTTGAAGATAGCTGCCATGATAGCTTCGGGCAAACACCGGGCCAATCGCGTCGTCAACGCTCTCCTCCAAAGTTTTTCGACATTCAGGCTTCTCAGCTGCCGTGCAATCGTTTGGTTTGCCAAGAGTGAGGGAGTGTGCGCCACCGAATTTCCAAGTGTGTCCTACTTTCTTAAGGGAACACAACAGAAATCATAGCGTTGGCTTTGCATAAGTCATAATTCATTTGCACCCTTCACTTAGCCTTGCATACCCGGTCCTCCACTCACAACTTTCTTCGCATTCAATTGCCGATGCTTGCGGAGGCAGCTGCCGTTGAAGCACCCAATGTTGCCAGCCTTTTTTGTTTCATGCCAAGACGAAGCTACCTTGCGCAGCAGCGCCAGAAATGTTCTGGAGCGTCTCAACACTTTCTCCACCCGTGTGCTTCAGTTGCATTTGAGATTTTCAAGAGCTTCCATTTTTTGGCATCAATTGAAAAGGAACTGCCATGCGATCCGCAAAGCAACAACCTTATCTGATTCGATGCATGAGGTGCACTTTGTGGCAATTGATGAAACCTATTGGTCGGCGTCCTACCAGCTTACCTCTGGCCTGTTCAGTCCGGGGGAGAAAATCGTTGTTGGGGCAGTCAACTCCTTGGCTCGGAAAGGAAAGAAGTCGGCCTGTCTCAAAGCCTTCTCGGCTTCCTGCCTCTCTGGCGAAGTTCCTCGAGATACCACTTGTGCAAAATTGGGTGAATGCGAGACGGCAGGTCCACTGGCTCACTTCCTCCATCAGCCCCTTGTTCTTGCAAACAGCGGTGCGCAATTGACAGGCCCTTGAGCCATGGCACTCGTGTGCCTTGCAATCCACATGCCTGGCAGCGAGCTGATCACCACTCCACCTAAAGATTGGTCAAAGGGCAAATCGCAAATGTTTCAACTCCAATGCTGTGTGGCTGACATGGCAAACAAAAAGGAAAGCGGTACGCCTGAGAAGTCGAGCAACATAAATGTGATCCGTGACAGGCAACCAGCAGACCCCTTTGAAGGCTCTGCCAACTTCAATCCAGTCCCAAGCCAAAGCTTGACAGATTCGCACAACGCATCCAAGCGGCAAAGGGCGGAGCGCTGCGGTGCTTGGGGCGTGCGCCACGTATCGCCGCTTGGGCCGGGGGGATCCAGGTCTTTTCCACCGGTCCAAACGAAGTAGCTGAGGATTCCCCCTCCACCAGGACACTGCCACCATGTCCTGCCCCTCTGTGCGCTGGTCCTGGAATTCATGCAAGAGCTTCACTGCTTTTGCACTCACCCTGCCCGTGAAGGAGTTGAACTTGTCCAAAGGCAGCCTGGTGAGCATGGGGGTCGCCTCAGGAAAATGGGATCTCCAACGATTTGATATGATTAGACTAAGGTCAAAGAATTCCTGGCTATGATGAGGCCGGATCCCGGCTGGACCAGAACGCCCACTCCAAGCAATCTAAGGGCAAGTTTGGTCTTCAGAACTACTATGCTGGAATGTGACAGTGGCTGATGTTAAAGAATCAACCTTGACTCAAGGCAGTTGCCCGGAACATAACTCTGATGAGATTTAGCTGTCTTGCTTCCACTGTAGTCCTGGGCAAAAACTCTGCGCTTCTGGGTATTTCTGGGTGTGTAGCAAGCCCCCGTGGCAGGATAAGATGTGATATACCACCAGGACAACATATTCTTCTTGAAGGTTCCAAAACAAAAACTATCAAAAACCTTTCCCCCTGCTGTGTAGAATCCTCCAAAACACTTCTGTCACTTTACACGGTCGGATTTCTTCCCTCAAACCTCTTTAGATCTCTTTATTTAGTGATACACTTAGAAGCGTGTGAGAGTTGACTGTGCGAAATGGACTTCCTAATTCGACTTCTGCCATGATCCACATACTTGTTGCCGTGATCAAGGCAAGAAGAAAGAGTCTTCTTCCTGAAATATTCCTGAAGTATCCGATCTTCTGTTGCAGCGCTTTCTTCCAACGGAAGCTGCAGTTAGTCCATCGCTACATGTTCGGAAAGCTTGGACGACGAGGATGATCCGGCGGCTCCAAAAAATTAAAAAGGTCAACCTTGAAATCCCATGCACTGTTCATCCATGATGAGGTGTGTCATGATACAATTAGAGACGCCAAAATCCGCAACAAAACCACGTCCAACTACGACCAAACCCTGCAAATCCTGTCACACCAGTCACCGGTCCAAGAGTTTTCTGCATTGCATCGTCTCCCCGCCCTCCCCCCTTTCCCACGATTCGTCCAGCCTCCTCCTCTTGCAAAGCTCTTTGCCGCTCCAGGACCAGCACTTCATGAGCCTCCAACATCTCCTCCCTCTTCATGAGCTTCCAAGCGCTGCTCCTGGCGGACTCGGAGATGACATGGAGATTTGTCCGAATGATTCAAATTCAAATGACTCCAATGACCATCAACACGAGAGATTCACGGAGTGATTCAAAACCTGCCATCTAAAGCGTGTGGCATTCGCACATCTTTTAAGACAGGGTATGTGTCAACATAAGAACCCTTGGTGTCAAAAAGAAACTTTTAAACCTACTGTATCACGCGCCGGTCGCAGCAGGAGGTGGTCTCTGCGCCAACTCTTGTTCACTTTCCGGAGGTCCGGAGGTCACTTTCTTTGGGCCTCCCTCGGAGGTCACTTTCACTTTCCGGGAATGAGCATTCTTGGTCAACTCCCTCCGCTCTGTAGGCTCAATATGATTGAGAATCTTCTGAGTGACCTGACCTCAGAGGTGGGCGAACACAGATTCGGAGCACTTTCTGTCGCCCGTATTCGACGTGAACACCGTGTAAAACCGCGGTCTTTTGGTGGTGTTTTCCGGGTGTGTCTCCAACAACGGCTGATCAGAGCATCAATGACACATGTTCCATCCATCTCATTCAGAGAAATCCTCCTTTTGGGTTATTATCATTACTCTACTCACTTCTACCCCGCCAATGACTTTGGAGATTTTCTCCCCGGCTTCTTCTTCTTCAAACTTCACATCCAGCTCCTGCCGTCAAGACTCACGACAGCTCGGCTCAGCATGGTGAAGAGATGCGAAGAGTTTTGGCCGCGGCGATGGCCCGGGGCGGCCTTCGTACATCCGTGAAATCCATGTCAATGTCCACCCTCGGAAAATAAGACAGGTTCGGAGTGGTGAGCGGAAAATGAAAACCTGTTGGCAACGGTTCCGGTACCTGTCTGCACTTGCCTCTTCCGCTATGTCACAGCGAGCTGCAATGGAAGCCTGGAGGAGGTTGGAGGTACAGTGGACACGTATACCATGGAGTCAAACTGACTCGGTCTTTGGAAGGGTGGTCGTCGACGTCTTTGGATTGTTTGGTATGCGCATGCTGTTGATTGTTTTGGGTCGTTCAGTGACCAAAAGCAGCATGAAAGAAGTGGCTCATACAACAAACACTGCAAAGGTGTTCTTTGTGTTCAACAAATATGTGGGAAATCGACTATAGCCTATTGAACTTCCAACAGAAGAAGGGCTCAATGCTGTCTCATTGAGGCCGATGATGTTCAATGTTCTAGATTTCCTGGCCTTCATTCGGTATACCTTGACGAGCTGAGACACCAAGTACCCATTGGTACCACACCTATCTGCAAAATCCCAGACTTCTCATCGGAGAGTTTCCTCAGTCCAAAGATTCTAGAGGCACAGCGTCTGCACTTTTAGAAGAACCTTTCCACACAGATGCTCCATGATAAAGGAGTCTAGAGTCTAGAAGCTAGACAGCAAGGGGCCCTAATCGGCCCTAGATTTTAGGGTTTGGAACTTCACCAGGAAGCTGAAGTTCCACCTGTCGGAAACATGTGCTCGCTTGCAGTCTACTTTCAATTCGGCATAATTAGAGGATGAAGGGTTTTCATTCAGCTCTGTCCAACAGAATGCATCCTTTTCGGTGTGATCTGTAGACCGAACCTGGTCGCTTCAAAGCTGTTTCGGGCTGCTGCTTGAGGTAGAGTTCCTCATTGGACACAACTGAAGTCTTCAACGATCAAGCCCACGCACGCTCTGATTGGAGGCTGCTTGCTCACCCTTCAACGTCAGTTCAGAGTAAACACGCAACATCACGCAACCGAGGGCGACTCGAAAGAGACGTGCTTGTCCTCCTCATTGTCTTGGCAACATCAGACATCATGATCTCAAAGTCACGCTTCCTCCCAAGCTTAAGCGAGCCCCTGCTTTGCTGCACAGCGGCTTGCACTGCCCCAACCAAGCTCCCATGATAATGTTGCTGGAAAGATTGCAAGCAGCCTCTGAAGACAAACATGTCCCTGCCAGTGCCTTGGACGCCATAAAAGCTCGCTTCAGCAAACAGCTGTACATAGGAAGATGCCACGGGGGGCACCCAAGCTCCGACAGCTGCGTCAAGTTGACCGACCTGACAACGCCAGCCCAATGGTCCGGCTCATCCGGCCGCGTCCAGAGCGTGTCCCAGTCAAGAACACTGCACACAGATGAAGTACTCCACCCTCCGCGCTGGATCGCGTTCTCGAAGAACTTTCTCGCGATGTGAGGCGACAAGTATGACACACCCATCAAGAAGCAACGGGGGCATTGGCCCAAGCAAGTTCTTACAGCCCGCATGTATTGCCACAGCTCCTGAGGCGCTCTGGGAAAAGCAAGGCCCTCAAACACGTTGAACAACTTCTCCACGCAGCTGAGCGCCGACTGGCTCCTGCCAGCCTTCCCCAACTGCAATGATCCCTCCTCGCTCTTCTCCAAGAGTTCAAGCCTCATCATGCACAGTCATGATCCGATACTCCTTCACCAGCTCTTCAGGAGGGTCGGACCGAACGCTGCTCTCCCATTCACCAGCATTGCAGAGTGACCGGAGCACACTGTCGGCAGTTGGTGGCCCCGGCCTCAACAAGCAATATCGAGCAATGACACATAAAGTTTGGGCAGTCCCGAGGCACCTGTTGTAGCAAATGAACTGAACATATCTGAACATGAAGTTAAGAAACTCAAGGGTCCCTTGATGCCCCTTGCAAGACTCAGGATTGCGTGGCAAACCTTTGCGAATACCCGTGAACCCATAGCGTCAGAATATGTTACAATGGACAGGAGGTGGAAAGAAAAGAGTGGATGGGCACACACAACTCAGCCCAAAGCCTGGGCCCTGTACCAAATAGCTGGGGAAATGCGTGGGTGTATACTAGAATCCAATAGGGAAGACTTACATTAAGTTTCGCAAAGCAATTGGACAGGTCTAAAGCGGATTTTGGATGTTTTGGTATAAAGCAATTTCTTCTCGGAATTTCTCGGACCTGTAGACCAAATCTCACCTGATGATCATGTTTAGAAGCATTTACCACTATCAAGGTATTTCAAACTATCTCACCCATTCTCAGCCACAGGTACCTCTCGTTATCTCTCGTAGATGGAGGGTATTTTGGCCAGTGTGCCGGTGTATAATCGAGTGGTGCCAGGCCGCATGAGGCTCCCCAAGAAGGCTGAGATAACAGAGGGAACCCAAAGGTTGGCGCAAATGAACATCACGACGCATTCGGCCTCACCACATCCACTCAACACCAGCCCTGCAAAGAAGCTCGGATCAATCGGTGGAACCAACACCGGCGCCAAACGGACTGCGGCCCGCGCTAGAGGCCAACAGACCAACGCGCCATGGGCAGATTTCGTGAAAACGTGTAGCTACAAAGGAATGCTTTTGAAAGCCGCTGGCTTTTGTGATATGGCATTTAAATGCCAGCTGCCTCAATATTGCAAATGCCATTGTCATTGCATCGACACTGTGTTTACAATTGTAAATAGTAGATGAGTGAGACATAGTGAGACCAAGGGGCCGCAGCAGTTGGAAACTTGGATTGGCCGTAAAGTCACATCTTCCTATCTTCCATGATTTCGGGTCAATGAGTCATAATGAGTCAATGACTTTTACTCGCTGCATCTCGCTGCTAGCTTGAAAAGTCACGTTGGAAGGGTAAGCTGTTCAACGCAAGCTGTTCCATTCTATCTCATGTTTCCCTGTCCGTCCTTAAGAGATCTGAAGAGCACCAAAAGAAACACCGAAAAGATGGCGGCGTGGCCCAGCCTGCACCTGCACGAGCAGCTTCCGGAAGGTCATCCCAGCAATCGGATGACCTAGGCAAACCAGGCGCATCACACCAAATGGTGGGCACTCCCCATTCTTCCGTCGTCGTCGTGAATTTGGCTTTGAAGGTGTATCACCAGGCTGACATGTCCATCATGGACTCATAGAGGGTCGGTGCCACGATGTGCCACGTGCCATATGGTACCATCTTCCAACAGTATGGTCCCATATAACATGAATATATATATATAGATATGAATCAACCAGGCAATGCTTGGATATGCTTGGATTCTGCATGGTTCTGCCTGATGATCCTTCGGGAGATGGAGGGAAAGCCCCTCCCGAAAAAATGCATTGTGAAAACTATACCATCCACTGGATACCATTGGATATCACTGGATCTTCAAAAAAAGGCACGCGCTAACAAGTACTGCCTGCGAGACGGATGAGATGGGATGAGCTTTCTGCACTAGGGCCTTACTAGGGTGGAGAAATGCCAGCTCGGAACATATCCTCATGACCAGTGTTCACTTTGGACGGTCATGTGTAAAGTATTTGTAGTTTTGTCCACTTGTAGATTTGGACATTATAGAGCTGATCTCCTTACTCTTGATGCAAGGAAGCACGCCATATATTTAGAATTCGTTAAGGACCTCAGCGACGCTTCTAAGTCGATCCGGCTGCTGAAGTCTTCACCATCTTTGCTTGGGAAAAAACCTCACCAACTGAGGGCACTAGGCTTCCGGACCTGGTCGAGTGGCATTGTCGCAGTTGTGATCATTTAGTTCACCCAGACGCATGGCGAAGGCAAAGGCAGACTAGATTTAAGGCCAGCGTTCAAAAAACAAAGCCACATGAAAAGAACATGTGGGAAAACCATGGAAAACCAGGAGCCGCTTCTGAACCTTCTCTACACAGTCGGGAGTTCAAAAGGGTCTAAATCTAAATGGACCTATCCGAACCTATCCTTTGATTGGACAACTTTCTGTGAGAAGATGTGAGAAGCAAAACCGCACATGGCTGCGACGGGCCAGAACATCAACACATGTCCGACCGCAACACCACAATAAATGGATAGACGAACCTGGATATCCACCGCCTAGGCCTAGGTCCCCCCCTATATCCATTTCTCCTGGGAGGGTGGATGGCTATATATATATATATATGTGGTATACATGAAGTGTCTGGGAAATGGTGGACCATCATGTGGCTCTACTTGGTCCCATTAAGAAGGAGATTGATTCTTGAAGGCCGGCCTACTTCAAGTATATAGTTTGTTTCTCATACTTAGAAGTTATGAACATATATGAACATATCTGTTCTACAGCACTGCCAGCACCGGACATGGAGTGTGAATCCACTTTCAGAAGACCTTTGGCTTCCAGTGAGGATTTCGAGCGTCGCTCCGGTGAGCTCTTGATCCGTGGCTTGGCCCAGCTGAACTCCCCACTCCCTCCGTCCTGCACCGTCTCCTTGGTGCAGTCTGCCCATAGCCTCACCAGGACCACCTCACAGGCACAGCACCATCTGACGGCGTGCGTGGCTTCACCAGCACCATCTTTGGCGCGTGGCAGAAAGTGCAGAAGACACAAGAAAACTCCTTCTAGTGGGCCCCAAATAGATTGTGGACACGGTTTCCTGTCTACATGTTCTATAAACCCCCTCTCTCATGACACGCGTTGAGAGCTTCTCAGCCAGGAATCAGCTGTCATGCCTTTCCTTCATGGGGTCTGAACCACTACAGGACCAGTTCATGTGTGTACATATATTGCAGGTGCCGAAGGGTACACCAACTACATCCCAGGTCTGGTGACCTGATGGTTGGAACACGTTCTGCCGGAAGTGACGGCACCCGCCTCAATTTAGACCCAGGAGGCTTACAAATCATCAGAGTGAAGGTTGTCACTCAATAGAGGTCGGACGGCACCATCTGCTTGATTCAAATCAGCCAGCAAGCATCAAACATCAAGGATCCATATGGATCCATACAAAACATTGCAATCAAACTCCCCTAGATTCCAACACTTCCACCCTCTTCACCCCTTCCATTCCGCTCCAATATCGGCCCCCCCCCCTTCGACCCCCGGCGCGCCCCGCTGCCGTGCTCCGCGAAGTCCGCCAGCGCCACGCTGTTGGACCGCCAAGCGCCGAAGCTCTGCGTCTCGGCGACGTGCTCCACGAAGGCGCGGCCCACGTGGGCACGCACCTCGGCGTCCGCGGTGGGCGGTGCGCGGTCTCCGGCGTGTCCGGAGGCGGTGTCCGGTGGGGGGCGGTGGTGGTGGGCGGCCCGGAAAATGGAGGCCATGGCCGGAGGCCATGGAGTCCATGGACCTTTAGAGGATTCTCATGTGTGAAGATTGGCCCAGTGGTGTTCAGGGTCCAAGTGGTTTTCTGGGAAAGGGTATCGGCTATTGCGGACCATGTGGGGAGTCGGAGTGGCACTGGGAGTGGCTAAAGCATGTGATTGTTGAGTGGGAAGGGATCTTCTGCAACACTTTCTTGTATATAGATCTTCTAGCATGCCGAAAGGAGCCTTGGAGCATGCCGCTTTACGAGCTAATTGATGCTTTTGGTCCTGATCACTTCGTTCGCATGTTCGCATGCGGAGCTTTGCCCATGGACCCCCCGGACCACCAAACATCAGCTTCGTGACTAAAGGGAACTGCGAGGACAATGGCCCCCCCAGACCGATCACACAGCGCACCATGGCGCGGCCCTCGTGGGCTCAGTTGCTGGATCTGCAGTGATCTGCGGTGTGACAAATTGCTCATTCCAAGACCCATAGTTGCAGTGCTTCTTGGATGTTCATGGGTATCGGTATCGTTTCAACATCTACAGGGCGGCAATGGATGGCACATCGACTCCTTCAACGATCCACCATCAGGCTTGAAATCGCCAGTTGTTTCTGTCACCATTGGGGAGTCACTCCACTGGTGGGCGGCGATTGCAAGTGTTCCCTGAAGAGGTCTGCTTCACACGGCAGGGCCCTGCAAACCTGCATGCACTTCGCTGATTATGTCAACAGTACTCGCTCATCTTCCAAGGCATCGGTGTCTTCGAGTCCTCTGACGCAGTTCTTCGGAAGTTTCTTTGGTTGCTCCAGGCCCTACATTCTGAGACACGCTCTGAAACATACCTCATCTTCTGAATGGCTGCGCATGGCTACGCATCGCCGTCCTCCGTGAGCGATTCGAGATGGGCAGGTCGTCGAACGGTACCGAGCATGTGGTGGGGGGTCGTGTTCCGGGTCGGGTTTTTCCTCAACATGAAATAGAGAAAGGCGTGGGCAAATGCAAAAAGCCAGAAAGCTGGCTTGGCCAGGAGATTGATTCTGTTGGCTTCTGATAGTTCATGCATTTTTGGATTCTGGGTGCTTGGTGGTGGTCGAACAGTGCCGCTGTATGGCCAAACCTCATGTATATAATTTCATCATATTTCCCGTACTTACTGAGTCCGTCTAGGCTGTTTGAATGAACCTTTCCCAGCTACGTATGGGATTGGTTGCCACCACCAAGGGTCCTGATATCCAATCTATAGCATGACTCTCCAAATGTGCTTTGTGGGTTGGCATTCAAAAGTGGATCCAGGATGTATTTCGAGATGTTGACGTTCATGTGTCGTTTTGGGTGATGGACATCCAATGAATGTGCCCGTCAGTCTCTAGATGTAAACATTGCCCTTTTGATTGGACATTCCATCCCTACCACTCTGCTGCGGAGTGCGCACTTTGTTTCTTCACGATGCCAAATCCTCACCAGGCCCTGGCAAACCTGCACACCCGCGCAAGAAAATTGAGAAGAAGGCGTCAAGTAGACGTTCGTCGGGTGGTGGATGAAAAGGGCAAGAAAAAAGCATCCCGACAAGCATGACGCTCATCTGGAGAGAAGGCCAAAGGAAAACATATTCCACAGCAACATCCAGTTCTTTTGGGGGATCTATTGCTACATTATGCTATACATTCTATATTGCTTACTTTACAGCTATATATTGATCGTTGTTGTAGTTGCTTGGGGCTATGGAGTCGACGAATCTGAGGCTCCTAGGTCCTAGCTGCAGACACCCCCTTTCAAACCTACCATCATCTACCATAACATAAGCAAGCTGGGCATGTTGATGTCACACCAAGTCAATCGCAAAGAAGCAGACATCTTACATCATCTTACTAATGACAAGGAGTGAAGACTCTGGAGATGGCTGGAAGGAGAAACCATTCGAGTGGGCACGCTAATCCATATGCCATCACCTCCACCCTTAGATACCAATGATGTTCGGGACTCTGAGCTTTGTTCCATGTTGCCCGGAAAACGGGAGTTGCTCCAAATTAGATGGCCCATCAGCACCTGCGCTAATTGTATGATATGATATATGGCTTCCTTGAAGTCTCCAACTAGAGGGAGCAGATCTAGTTGTATGTGCGGCTTACCCTTCCCAACATGAGCTACGGAGCCTGGCTGGGAATCTGGGTAGCCGCCAGGGTCGCGAAGCTGGCAGCAGTTGCGAAACGACTTGAATCATGGACGAATGTGGAACAGCTGGACGAATTTCGAGGCTCAAAATCACCGCGCCTACAAAACTCATCCGTAAAATTGCTCATCCGTTTGACAAGCCAATTCAATTGGCTTGTTGCTTGAGAAAGTGTTTCCCCATGAGCTCTATAGATCGACTTCCAAAACCGTGCCGGGAAACGTAGAAGATGAACACATGCTGCGTCAGGATGTCAAGCCGCAGCCACAAAGAATGACACAGATACTCGTAAACCGTGCTATGTATTTTGTGGCGTTTGTGCAATCATAGTGGGAGCATGTCTATGTTCTGGTATGTTTTGACCTTTTACTTTGGCAAGTGCAATGGCAACGAGATGCCCATCTCCAACTTTTTATCCACCCTTGCTCACGTGTGAAAAGGGGCAGGAATCACCAAATTTGCAGCAGCCATTCTGATAGTACCAGCAAATTGCGGAGCCATTCGTGTTCCACTTCGGGACATAATCCTCAAAATAACACTCAGTGGGCCAACTATCTTCGAATGCAGGCCACCGATAAACTCGGGAATGATGCGACCAGCACTGGGCACAATAGCCTTTCCTGGGCGCCGACGACGAAGGAACGCTTTCGCGGACGACGCGACGACTGCACGACGTCGTGTCCGGCAGACGGTCTCTTCGACTCATAGCGGCTGGAGCAGTTTGAGAGGTCTTGGGGGGGTGGTGCAGCTGAGATGGAGTGAGTACAGTAAGAAGGAGTGGCATCCACTTTGGATACCTGGAGCCTGGGTGACCTCTATTTTGGAGGATCAACTACTGTAATCAGAAATGTGGCCTTTTCCTATCAAAACAAAGGTCACTTAGGCTCCAGGTACACATGTCCATGCAGAAACGGGGGGCGTGCGTTAGGTGACACCACAATGTCCAGTGTACGGCGTATGGGGTCCTGTGAAGCTTGGATCGTTTTCAGGGGGCCAACGTTAGTGGCAATGACTCCGGACATGGCCAACCTCTCCAAACAGCAAGTGTCCAGTGGTTCTTCTAGTCAGCAAATGCAACCGTCCAGAATCACAAGTTTGAAGCGACATGCTTCTATCCCATACACTCCATGTATGGAATATATGCTTACATCCCAACCACCCCTGGCCTGATCGGCAGTCCTATGGCAGTCCCATGGAGCGTCTGCGTATGGAAACGCCCCGGTGCGAAACTATGCCCTGATCACCTGAGCAAACTTCCAAGTCACATGGTCTCCGGGTCAAGTGCCCGTTGGTCGCGCTGACACACATACTGCTTGGTCTGGACGCTGCAACGTTCCTGAGCGCGGGATTTGTTGGCACTGCGGAGGGTTAAACCATGCAAGCCCCGCACGCAGAAGCTTCCCCACTACAGCTAAACATCACCAAGAAACTCGTCATCCGGGCTTGTCATTCCTGCAAAGGCAGTAGTTGGTGACTTCTGGCAGTAGTTCTCTGCCCTTTCTTCTCCACGGGGCCAAGGTTGGGCACGTGCTTGGGCAAAACTCACCCTGACCCAGAAGAAGCCATAAGAAACCTCATCCCTTTCAGCCGCAGTCTGTGCTTTGGTCATGCAAGATGAAGCCATGGGAAACTCCACCTTAAGGTGGACCGAGCATTAATTCATTCCATATGACGAAGCCCTACCGGCTTTACAATCCGAATGGGTTTGTTTATCAGTTCAGAGTCTACGTTAATTGACGATGTTTTCAGATTGCTAATTGAAAGGCTTTCAAAGACCTGTGAAAATCGCTCGCGGACGTGGTGAGCGCCTGGCGTTGTCCATGCATGTTTGGAGCAACATCAGTCAGGTTGCGGGCAAAACAAAAAATACACCCTGACTCAGTAACATGAATAGAAATGGAGTTCGCCTCCTCTTGGTAGAGGAAAGTCGTCTTCCAAGGGACCATGTCATCCACTTAACCGTGTGATTTTGTCGTCAAAGGGTAACTAAAGTCTGCATCTTTGGATGTTCCAAGTTCATCTTCGTGTTCACACCATGCCCGTGCTTCAAATAAAATACAGTGGTTTCAGAGTAAATGGCACAACCCCCAAAAGGTGGTTAATACGGACCCGCATTATTTAAAAGATATCTTGAAGTCTCTTAAACCCCTGTAAACATGAAGATTGCACCTCCACAAACAGGTGGTCCGGCACAATCAGTGTCCAGAATCATGTAGAATCAAATGTCAACACGATTTCTAGACTCATCCAATCAGGTTCGCTGGACTACAAGAACCACTACTTCGGGGTCGCTGTGACTCCTGGTGACTGATGTTTCCAGGACGGCTTGGCCGAAGGCAAGCGTGTGCATCGATCTAGGATCCAGCACTGCAAAAAGCACCCAGGTCGATCTTCTAGAACAAACATTCGTCTAATTTGGGCCAGGGGGCGTACCTCTGACTCTCTTCCTAGATTCAAATAATTCCAGTTCCCTGTCGGGGTGCGCATCTTAACAAACCCCGCCGACACACCCGTTCTTGACAAAAACCCTGCTGATGCCTACCAACAAAGGTTGAGGAATCCTATAGACGATCCCAGTTTGGTACCCCAGGTGACGGGTCCTATTTACGGTCACTGGCTACCTCTCTTGGTAGAGCGCCACCCCACCAGAGTGAACTCCTGCCCTCTTCGCCTCTTTGCCCCGGCAACGCCGAGCGGCGGCGTGGGGCACGGTGCCCGGCCACAGGCAGCCATTCAGGTCCGTCGGGACGCCGTGGGCGGTGGACCGGTCATGACGGTCACGCCTGGGAGGTGAGGATGGCCACATGGATGGACCAGTGGGAAGTCTACAACTATGACCATGACCAACGAACCAAACATGGAGCTGGGTGGTTTCTAGTCCCATCCAGTGGATAAGGGGGACCCCCTATCCTCCAATAGGCACCTCTTTGTGACACCGGGAGGAGGATTCTTTGATGGACAACTTTGAAATGAACAACTCCAATATTGAAACAACACAATCAATATCATGATATAATATCTATACATATACACTAGACGACAGGGTGGCCCGAAAGCAAGTAGGCGGAAGAGAACAAATAGAAGGGAAGAAAAGCGAAGTAACAGAAGATGAATGAGCACTAAAGAAATGAAGAGATGATATATGATGATTCAAAACATTAAGATGAAACAAAATGAGATGATGATGAGATGACACAATATATAATAAATATATATATATATATATACATTATGATTATGATACTATTATCACGTTATTACCAAATCTATTAATGTATATTCTGTTGCACTGTACTTCGGAGCCCAAACGGTAGTCCCGGTCGATTCTTTTTTATCCAGCGCCGGTCGAGCTCAAACGCTAGTCCCGGTAGTAAGAGCCGCCGAAGTGTGCGAAATCGCACGTCCCAACCTGGCATCAGGACAACCAATGCTCATACAAATGCAACACTTGAAAAACAAAACAAATTACCCACAGTTCAACTCATGTTGTTTTGTCGGTTATCAGATATAGTTGCACACCCAGTCGGAACAGGATCGACTTCGAACAACTCTCGGTCGTGGATCTCGTGCCTTGTGGAGTCTCTGCACGTTCAGCTGGAACAAGGGTCGACTTCGGACAACTTCCGGTCGTGGACCCAGGTCCTTCTAATCAGTTTGGTCACGACACTTTGCAATAGCCAATTCACAGCTTTTCGCCGATACTTGTAACTTCGTGGCTGGTGACTATATGTGGCATCGACATGCCGGCCTCCTGGAATTCCATTGCGTGGTGTCCACTTTCATTTGGTCCCACTTGTTGCCGCTCAACCTGTTCAAAAGACTCAATGTCTCTGGAAACGAAACTGGTCTTTCAGGTCAAATCACAACAAGCAAAGAATATCATTCAAGTCCAACAATCGAACAAAAAAAAGATGTCTATAGAGCTCTGTTTGCACAATTTTATCGGTTATCAGGTATATTCGCGCACCCAGTCGGAACAGGATCGACTTCGAACAACTCTCGGTCGTGGATCCCGTTCCTCATGGGGTCTCTGCACATTCAGTCGGAACAAGGGCCGACTTCGAACAACTTCCGGTCGTGGACCCAGGTCCTTCTAGCCAGTTTGGCCACGAATTCACAGCTTTTTGTCGACACTTTGGTCACGACGTTTCAAATTCCCAACGCCAGGCATGCTTGTGATGCTCCAAGGATCGCAGTGCATACAAGACATATGCTCGTCGCCTCCACGGTCTCAGGCTTGGACGCTGCTGGAGCACACAGTCAATGGCATCCTCGACACTGAGATCCCACCAGATCACCAGCCAGGCGCAAAGCGCGGCGGTACTGCGATTGATGCCTCCAAAGCAATGAAACAAAGGCGTAAACCTGATGTCGTGGTTCCAGTAGTAGGAGGCCACATCCCAAAGAACATGCATCAAATCTTTCCAGAAAGCTAAACATTCACCGGCAGACTGACGATGCTTCGCCAGCTCTGTATTTGGGTCTTTGACTGTGGGATCCTCGATGAACCACCAGATATGAGCGACGCCACAACGTTCAAAATAGGTGGGCAAATCTGACGGCGCGCCGCGCACCTGGATCTCGTTCCCACACAGGGTCACGACATGGGAGATCTTTGTCGTGTACTCCACCTCCACCGCTTCAATGTTGACAGCCGCTTGACACTACCGAGGAAGATGGCATCCCCTCCCAAGGTAATGCAGCTGGCATCCAGTGGCCAGGCAGTGATATCTCCAAAATTGTAGTCATGACTGTGTGTCTTCCAGTCCAGCGGCTTCCATGGCAGGCGAGAGTATGCCGTTTGAATTTTCCGTTCACATGCATTTACCCAGCTCCGAACCTCGGAATTCCACGGTAGGAGGTCTGTCATGACGCAAAGCAGGGAATGGACGATCTAATAATTCGTCTTCAAAGCTGCGGATAACTTGCAACCATGATGATGATGATGAAGGTGATGATGATGATGATGATGATGATGATGATAATGATGATGATGGTGCATGTCGCCAGGCACGGTTTA